CTTCATCCCAAGTCATAAAAACATGGTCCTATATGCATTTTGGTTTCGGTTTTATTTTTTATTTTAGAGACAGGGTCTAGCTCTGTTGTCCAGGCTGGAGGGCAGTGGCATGATCATGGCTCACTACAGCCTGGAAATCCTGGGCTCAAGCGATCCTCCCACCTTAGCCTCCAGAGTAGCAGGGAGTAAGGTATGTGCCACCATGCCTGGCTAATTTTATTTTTGTGAAGACAGAGACTCACTATGTTGACCAGGCTGGTCTTGAACTCCTGGGCTCGAGTGATCCTCCTACCTTGGCCTCCCAGAGTGTTGGGATTACAGGTATGAGCCACTGTGCTGGTCTTATATGTTTTAATTAGCTTTATCATTTTTACTTTTCACATTCAGAGTTTTAATTCCTCTGAAGTTTTGTTACGGTAGGATACAACTTCCTTTCTCCTTCTGGTGAGCCAATGTTGCCACCATCTACTGCAGAGCCCTCATTTCCCGCAGACGTGATGCTTTGTATAAAGTGTGTCAAGTGTCCTCCTGGGTAGGCATCAGGTTACAGGCTCTCCACAGCCCCCACTGGGCTATTTTTTTGTTTTCATGCCAGTACCCCACTATTTTTATAATTGTAGCTTTCTCATCTTTAATTATATTTCTATAATTATAGCTTTAAAATATGTGTAACTATCTGGTAGGTCAAATCTGCCCCCAACCTGACTCTCCAATTTTCTCTCCTTTCTCAAAACCATCCTAGAATTTAAGGACTATTATCCTTCAATATCAATTTTAGAATCAGATTGTTAAGTTCCTGAGAAAACCCTGCTGGCTTTTTAATTGGAATTGCTTTGAGAGATTAATGTAAGGAGAATTGACATTGTTATGATTTTTAATTGCTTTTACTCTGTATTGAATAGACAAAAGGATATTTATAAAACATATATGGAGAATAAAGAATAACATTAGCAACATCCATGTACCCACCAGCAAACCTAAGAAAGAGTGCCCTCACAGGCATGTTAAACCGTCCCCATGGTCATTCCTGTATCTCAAGCCTCAAAGGCTCTGCCTGCTCCCAGTTATTTTGCTGGCTGACATTTGCTCATGGTGCCTCAACTTCCTTGTGTGGTGTGCAATGTTTTGAGTAGCGAGGACATGCTCCTTAGATTGTTAATTGTAGGACTACTCTAAGATGTGACTTGAAAGATAGGTTCCTCCAGACAGAATCTACATTTGCTTCAGCCAGGTGCCTGCAGGTATGACCAACCCAGCATCACTTTATTTATTTACTTATTTTTAACTTTTAAGTTCAGGGGTACAAGTGCAGGTTTGTTACACAGGTAAACTTGTGTCATAGGGTTTGTGTGCAGATTATTTCATCACCCAAGTTTTGAGTCTAGTACCTATTAGCTGTTTTTCTTGATCCTCTCCCTCCTCCTACCCTCCCCCGTCAAGTAGGCTCCAGTATCTGTTCCCTTCTTTGTGTTTATGAGTTCTCATCATTTAGCTCTGCTTATAAGTGAGAACATGCGGTGTTTGGTTTTCTGTTCCTGCGTTAGGTTGCCGAGGATAATGGCCTCCAGCTCCAACCACGTCCCTGCAAAGGACGTGATTGTGTTCTTTTTTTATGGCTGCATAGTATTCCATGGTATATATGTACCACATGTTCTTTATCCAGTCTATCATTGATGGGTATTTAGGGTAATTCCATGTCTTTGCTATTGTGAATATCCTAGCACCACTTTAAACCACATCCATCCTTGGCTCAGACTTTTTGAACCACCCAGTGTGAAGTCATGTTGTGAGTTCATACGAGAGTGTTCCCAGTTCACCCTCACTCTGAGGGTGTGGTCATTTTTTGAAGGTATAACTTTTCGTAGGGTGTCTACTCTGAGGCTCCTCCCCTTAGTTAGGCCCTGGGTTTTTGTCCTTTGTCTCCTGAACCCATGAACAAGGCTATGAAAACTGAAGCTCAGTTTTGCTGGGTTTGACAAAGGGCCGTGGGACAAAAGCTGTCTTCTGGGCTCTACTGACATCTCTATATTCTAACCTTCATTTCGATTTTGGACTCTGAAGAGTCTTTATTTTCTTGCTAGCTTACCCATGCATTTAAAATCATAATTTAAAAAATACCTCACATTTGTAGGTATCTTTAGCAATAAAGTTGGTTAGGGTATCTTGTCTTCCATACTACAGGAAGCCAAATGCTTAGAATTGACATTTTCACATTGTTTTAAGTTGTCTCAGCTTTGAACAACAGTATATCTGTACACTGATGTAGGTTTTTTTATGTTCTTAGGCCCAGTTTGTTACTTTTTCCCTTAAGTGCCTTTTGCATTCTTCATTAGATTATGTCCTGTAAATATTGGTGTTCATTACATTTTAAAAATAAATACCATTGAGTGGTTTTTCTGATTTATAAAATTTTCCGACATTACAGAATAGTGTAAAGAAAGTTTTAAAAAATCATAAGAAACCCACTATCAGCAGAAATAACAGCTATGACCTTTTGATATATGTCATTGTAAACAGTATTCTTATCTGTAAACCCATGTTTGCACAAAAAGAGGAGAATGGGTTTGCATTTCAAACAGCTCACTCCGCAAGCAGGATTTCAGGAAAGAAAAAGACCAAAGGCAACGCCTTGGAGGCGCACCAGGATTTAAGGGGAAGGCAGAGGAGGGGATGAGGAGTTAGGGTCAGAGTTAGCAGGAAAATGAAGACAGAGGCTGGTGTGGTCTGGTGCAGAGCTTATGTGTCACAGAGCTCTTCCTGAAGGGCGGGCTCAGGTCAGGGATGCCCTCCTGCTGCCATCCTTATGCCCTTCCTCCTTTTCTCTACAGGTTGACTCTGGCAGCTCCCTTGTCTGCCAAATGAACAAGACCTGGATTCAGATAGGAGTGGTGAGCTGGAGCTTTAGCTGTGGCCGGCGCCACTTCCCAGGTGTCTACACCAGCACTGCCCACTTCACCCAATGGATCAGTACTGAGGTCGCTGACATGAGGTTCATCAGTAGGGCTGGCCCTGCCTTCCTGTGCCCAGTTTTCCTCACTGGCTACATTCTGCTGGGCTCCTTGGGCTCCCTGTGGCTCCTGTGAGCAGTGTTTCAAGGACAGTCCCTCCTGGAGGCTGCTTCTCCCTCCCCTCTGTTCTACTCTCAGAAGTGGAAATGAGAGGTTGCATAGGATGGCAGGGCAGAGTGAGGGGGAGGGTCTAAGAGCCACTGTTACTTTCCGTTGTTCAATGAAGATGCTTTTGAACTTTGAGCCACTCAAGTGATCATCTTTCTTTCTGACTTCAGTCAGAGCCCTTCACAACCTTCCTAGCCCCCAAGCAGTCCTGGCTGTTCTCTCAAGCTCAGCCTTCTCTGATAGCTTTATGCCATGTCTGTCTTGTGCTTGTTGTGTGACCCTGGGAGACTGTTCCCCTCCCTCTTCTTCCAAATGTGGGACTGCAGCCCCTTCTTAGTCATCCCAGCACTCCAGCAATCCCCAGGTCCCCATGACCCTCCCCTGGGTATGTGACAGACACTTTCCCTCAGGCCTTCCTGCGAGGCCTGGCCTCTTCCCAAGTAACTCACCATGGTCAGATCACAGACCCAGACCCAGAATCATGGACCATGTTCTAGAACCCACTAGCCTCTCCTAACCCCACATATCCTTCTATGGGTCTGCAGAGCCTTCTATGGGTCTGACAGAGGTAGGTGATATGGGGACAGGGCAGAGTGCCTGCCTGGGTGATGAATGTGTGAGGTGCTGCGCCTTGAGCTCCCGAGCTGCCTTGATGACTTCCATTAGACTCTGTGGTACGAGCAAGGCTGGCTGGAGGTGGCCAGGCTGAGGACAGAGCCCTGCCCCTGTGTGAGGAATGGGGGGCTGTTCAGACCTGGTGGTCCTCAGGTGCAGAGCAACCACTCACCCCTATCTCTCAGGGCACCTGAAGGGTGTGATTTACTGTCTTTTCAGATATTGAAGCATGGAGTGTCCAGCTCAAGGGTGTATCCCAAGACCACAAGCCCTGACACATGTTAGAATATCCTGGCCTGATTTAACTTTCACCTTATCTTAGAAAAAATTATTTTCTTGTAGAGATGGGGGTGCTATATTGCCCAGGCTGGACTCGAACTCCTGGGCTCAAGTAATCCTCCTGCCTCAGCTTCCTGAGTAGCTGAGAATAGCTGGGACGGGGGTATGCTACAATGCTGGAACACCTTATCTTCTATAAGGCTAGAATTTTCCAACAGCTTTGAGTCCCCCACGTGACTTTTTAAATGTATTACCCTCCTGCGTCACTGAACCATCAATGTGTTCCCCAAATTGTAACGTGCAAAGTGACCTCCTCATCCCACAGTGGTGCAATGGTAAGCACTAGTGTTCCTCTGTGGAGGGTCCCTTCGCCTACACTCTTTCCTAAGCAGATGGATCTGTGGGGCAAGGGCGTCTGCTGAATGGTGTGGGGGTGGGGTGTAGTTACTTGGGATGAAGCAGTCTTTCAAAATCGTTATTTAAAACACATCTATCTGCTTGATTTCAGTTCCTTGGGCAAAGCCCCACTGGAGGGGCTGGAGGGAAAGTAGGGTCACTTGGAGATCCTGCATGCCAGCCCCTGAGGTTTGGTCTTCATCTCACTGCGGGAGGGGTAACGCCATGAGCCAGTCCAGGGCAATGGGCTGCAGGGGTGAAGAGGTCTGAGAATCCGCGGAGATTAAGTTGAGGGACTCCAGGAGACTGCTTGGATCCCCGGAGCGAGGAGAGGGAGGGGCCAAGGAGGGAGGTCAGCTGGGGCATACCCAGCCAGGGAGGCATAAGGGAAGGCTGTCACTAGGGGCGCCCTTGCGGGTCAGACACCAGGAGCGCCGTGGCGGGTGGCCCCTGGGGGGCGCCACGCAGGTGGGGCCCTAGGAGCATCCCCACCCAGCTCACCAGAGGCCGCGGCATGCGGTCAACAGGGGGCGCCGTCGTGGGGGCGGCACTGGGAGTGCCTTCCGGAGAGACGCAGTCGGCTGCTACCCTGGGATGGGTCCCTGGTTCCAGAGCCCGGCCTGCGGGCAGCGCCCCCGGAGGTCTGCCCCCTCCCGCGCTGGTTCCCTCCTGCTGCTGCTGCTGCTGCTGAAGCCTGCGGGTGAGTCCCTCCCGATGCCTACCCCACCCGCCCAACACGGCCCTCGCCTTCCACCTCTAATCCTCTCGGCGTCCTCCGCAGGTTGCTGGGGCGCAGGGGAAGCCCCGGGGGCGCTGTCCACTGCCGATCCCGCCAACCAGAGCACCCGCTGTGCCCCCAAGGCCACCTGCCCTTCCGGCTGGCCTCGCCTTCCCCAGCAGGCCCCGACCACCCAGACACTGCCCTCGACCACCCAGACACAGCCCTCGACCACCATAGCGACCCAATCCCCAGTTTCTGAAGGCAAAGTCGACCCATACCACTGTGAGTACCGTAGACTCCGTGGGGCAAGGACGGTGACAGAGGAGTCTTAAGGACCTTGACTGGGGCTAGGGGAGCAGAAAGGACCGGGGACGGGGTTGGGGGGCGGGGAGCAGGATAGAGGAGCGCCTCCTTCTACAGGTGTTCGCTGAGCACTAAACACCTGTGGGCCAGGCCTAGTCCTGTCTGGAGGCCCAGAGCTCTGGGTGTCTTGTCCTCACGGGCCTCCCCTCCTGCTGAGATAGGGGGCTGGAAAGTCAGAGGGGCCTGGGGCCGGCTGTGTGTTCCCGCCCCCTCTGAGCTGGCTGTGGGGCAGGTGGCTTCTCACCCTGCTCCAGGCCCTGACCCATCATGCCTCTGACCCAGGCTCCCAGCCAGGGACTTCCAGGATCTCCAGCACAGCTTTCAGGGCCAGGCTGTGTGAGCCTTCTTGTGGTGTCTCCAAGGCGCACACGTAAGATGTTCTCTTGCCCAGTGGCTTTCAGAGACCCACATAAGAAAGGCTTATTATTTTGGGACTCAGCACATAGCATTTAACTGCCACAGAAGTCGCCCAAACAGGACTTACGGTACCCTGTGCTGTGCATGCCGACATTTTCTTGCCTATGTTATCCTTTAAAAAGGCTGGTCACGGCCCACTTACATTTACAATCCACAAATCCATTTGGAAAACACTAGGAGTGGGACTCCTGGGATGTTGGATATGTGCATCTTCAATCTAGAAAAACTGTTTTCCAAAGCAGCTGCAACAATGAGCGCTCCCGCCGCCGTGGGTAGGCGTTCTGGGTGATAATCCTCACTGACACTCGCTGTCACCGATGTTGCGTTTTTGCCAGGCAGGTGGTACAGAGCAGAATCTCATTGTGATTGAAATCTGCATTTCCAGACTGGAGGTATTGGGCCATGCCTGTAATCCCAGTGCTTTTGGAGGCTGAGGCAGTAAGATCACTTGAGGTCAGGAGTTTGAGACCAGCCTGGGCAACACAGTGGGACTCTATCTCTCCAAAAAATTAAAAAATAAAAAAATTAGCTGGGTGTGGTGGTGTGTGCCTGTAGTCCCAGCTATTCAGGAGGCTGAGGTAGGAAGATCATTTGAGCCTAGGAGTTTGAGGTTACAGCGAACAATGATCATACCGCTGCACTCCAGCCTGGGTGACAGAGCAAGACCTCATCAGAGGAGGAGGAAGAGGAAAGAAGAGAGAAGAAGAGGAAAGAAGAAGAAGAAGAAGAAGAAGTCTGCATTTCCTTGCAGACTAAGGGCGGAGCAGCTTCTGTGGTCATTGGCTGCTGGGATTTCCTCCTTGGGCTATGCCCATTTTTCTGTTGGGGCATCCACTTTCCTCTCACTGAACCACAGAAAGGGGTTCCCAGAGGAGGGAGAGAGCTCTGCTTTGGCTAAAGTAAGGGACATGGTGAGGGTGGAACCAGGTGGAAATAGGAACAGGTTAGTGAAAGATCTGATTAGAGCTGAGAGTGTGTTGGGGACAGCAGAAGGGCCAGTGGTACACTAGGCTGGTCAGCTGGGGATGCTCTAGGGCCCAGGCTGCGGGAATAGGGAGAGAGATATTTGGGCAGTGCTTGGGCCCTTCTGAGGCATGAGACCCTAGTCCACATGTGGACAGCATCATTCTATGGTGACAGGTGAAAAGGGAGCACCCCTGGATGGGTGCAGGCCAGTGGTTAGAGAGGCAGGAAGTCAGGCTGGGGAAGGGGTGGGACAGGGAAAGATCCATCCCTCATCAAGCTCTCACTTTCATCCTCAGCCTGTGGCTTTTCCTACGAGCAGGACCTCACCCTCAGGGACCCAGAAGCCATGGCTCGACGGTGGCCCTGGATGGTCAGCGTGCAGGCCAATGGCACACACATCTGTGCGGGCACCATCATTGCCTCCCATTGGGTGGTGACTGTGGCCCACTGCCTGACCCGGTGAGTCGAGGTCGAATTGGGGTGGGTGGAGAGGCATTTGGAGCTGCTGCAGGCCCAGTCACCTCCTCCCTGCCAGCTGTTCCGGTGGCAGTGGCAGCAGTGGCAGCTCTGCACTCCGCAGAGCCCCACAGTCCCAGCCCCTGCCTTACCTGGGCTCCAAACAGGTGGAGGCTGAGTCCTGAAAATTCCTTCAGGGCTCCAGTCTTTTGAGTGTCCCACCCTTTGCTCGCCTCGCCTGGCCTCTCAGTCCCGTGCAGTCATTCCGCAGATGGGAAATGGAAGCTCAGAAGCCATTTGTCTAGCCTCATGCCTCCTCTCCATGGGAAGAAGCTCCTAGTTATTTCATTTCACCCTCTTTGCACCCACATCCTCTTTCTTCCCTTCAATCAACCGTCTCTGACACTTCTTTGAGCAAGGCGCTGACCTGGGCACTGGGGGCAGAGGAGGGATAGATCATTCCTCCCAGCTTGGTGGGGGAGACAGAAAGGAAGACAGATACTCACAAGGGTGCCTGGTTGGTGTGGGGACAAAAGAGGGCGTGTTCTCATGTTTTGGGGCCAGGAGTGCTGGCTGTGAGAACTGACCAGTGAAGTGTGTTCCAGGCCTAAGGGCCAACATACAGACTCCAGGGGTACCCCAAGGGTGCGCAGCTAGAGAGCCAGGCCATGGTGCATTCCATGGAGCTGGAAAGAGTGGAATTGCCCCCTCCAAGGCACAGCATGGGGTGAAAGAGTCCATGCTATAGACTGAGAGTAGAGTTTGGAACCAGAGAAAACTGGGTCCACATCCCTTCCACTGCCTCCTAGCTATGCAGTCCTGAGTGCTTCACTGGGCTTCTCTGAGCCTCAGTTTCCCCCTCCATAAAGTGAAGGGTCGTGAGGACTGGCTCACACAGTGAGTGTGCAGGGCCCTGTTCACGTCTGTGGTGAGGAGTAGGCTCAGGGGGCTTGAAGTGGGTGGGTGGCCCTGCCTGGATCTTCTCGGGGGGCAGCAGAGTGGGGGAAGGCCTGGGCCGGAGGCTGGGGCAGGGGGCCTGGAGCTGATCGTGGCCTCCCTTCACGGCCCCCCAGGCGTGATGTTATCTACTCAGTGAGGGTGGGGAGTCCATGGATTGACCAGATGACGCAGACCGCCTCCGACGTCCTGGTGCTCCAGGTCATCGTGCACAGCAAGTACCGGGCCCAGAGGTTCTGGTCCTGGGTGGGCCAGGCCAATGACATCGGCCTCCTCAAGCTCAAGCAGGCACTCAAGTACAGCAAGTACGTGCGGCCCATCTGCCTGCCTGGCACAGACTATGTGGTGAAGGACCATTCCCTCTGCACTGTGACGGGCTGGGGACTTTCCAAGGCTGACGGTGAGTCAAAGCCGCCCCAGACCAGGGCAGGTGCTGTGAAAAAGGACGTGGTTGCAGGCCAGGGTGCCACCACAGAAGGAAGTTTCTGAGGTGCCTTCCCCAGGGAGCCCGCCACTCCCGGGACCTACCTGCCAGGCTCTCATCTCTGAGGTCTCCCTTCCCTTGAGAATCTCACAGGGAACGCCTCACTGCTGCTCTAGCCTCAGGGGACCGTGATTGCCTTTGAATCCTGAGCCAGGCCAGGGCATGTAAACAGAACTTCCTCGAAGGCAGAGAGGCACAAAGTAATACCTCACAGTCCACACCCGCTGCCCAGACATTGGCAGCTTGCAGCAGAGTACCTGAGGTGGGGGGAGCAGTCTTCCGTGCTGTAAAATGCTGCCCAGAAGGCTCACATGGCCGGCTCGGGGCGGTCTGCACCTGGAGCTCATGGTTTCCGCTCCCCTCAGTGGGCCTCAACTCCTTGTCGTCCCAATTCAGGAGCAAGGCCCAGAGAGCAGGTGTGTCCTCTCAGGGACATCCAGGGGACCCTAGAACTGTCCACTTCCTTCAGGTGGTCCCCAACCCATAAGAGAGATGTCCTTCCCTGTGGCCTCAAGGAACCAACTTACTCTCAAAACAGCCCATGGGGGCTTCAGCCCATGTGGGAGGACCTGGGGGTGACTTTGTCATCCTGCTGTGGCCTGTCTCCTGTCTCCCAGGAGCTTAAGCCAGGGACAGGGACACGCTAGTCAGAGAGGCAGGAGGAAGCAGTGCCTGAGCTCCATGGAGGGGTCTGGGATGGCTCAGCAGGGAAGAGGCCTGTGGAGGAAGGGATGCTTGAAGAGAAGGAAGGTTTGGTCCCTGAGAGACTTGGCAGGCCCTCAGGACGGAAGGAGGGGCAAAAACCAAGCGGCCGAGTGTGGTGGAGGGAGTGTGAAGGCCCCCAGTGGCCTGGGCTCTGCAGGAAGCCAGAGCAGGCCCAGCAAGGCTGAGCTGGAGGCAGCCTGCTCCAGGGACTCTGTGTTGAGGGCCCTAGATGGGTACGGGCTAGAACGAGGGTGGGGGTGCATGGCTAAAGCAGAAAAGGTGGGACTGGGGAAAAGTGGAGAGAGGACGAGGCGAGGCTGGCGGCAGCGGGCAGCAGTGAGTGGCCGCGCCTAAACGGGGCCCTGTCCCACAGGTATGTGGCCTCAGTTCCGGACAATTCAGGAGAAGGAAGTCATCATCCTGAACAACAAGGATTGTGACAACTTCTACCACAACTTCACCAAAATCCCCAATCTGGTTCGGATCATCAAGTCCCAGATGATATGTGCGGAGGACACCCGCAGGGAGCAGTTCTGCTATGTGAGCGGCCTCTCCTCACTCACTCGCCTTCAGGGGCACCTGGGGGAGAGGCATCTGGGGAGGGAGAGGGGAGGGATGGAGGATGGGTAAGGGAAGGGAAAGGGGTGGGCAGAACTCAGGGGTGTGGGGATGGAGGATGTGGGGAGAGACTGGGAGGAAACAGATGGGGGCTGGGAACAGGGATGGCGGTTGGAGGTGAGAGGAGTAGGGGGTCCATGGGGAGCTGGAAGGTGGGTGTTAAGAGGTGGGGGATGAAACCCTTTGAGGAAGGTCTCCTGGCTCTGGAGCACTTCTCACCTATGTTGGCACTGGGGGACTGTGGAGGTGTGGTGTGAGGACATCCTGCCTGTCCTGGAGCTGGGTCATGTCTCTTGCCTCACCTGGCCTCCCTGACCCTTACTCCCCCAACCCTTCCCGCAGGAGCTAACTGGAGAGCCCTTGGTCTGCTCCATGGAGGGCACGTGGTACCTGGTGGGATTGGTGAGCTGGGGCGCAGGCTGCCAGAAGAGCGAGGCCCCGCCCATCTACCTACACATCGCCTCCTACCAAAACTGGATCTGGGACTGCCTCAGCGGGGAGGCCCTGGCCCTGCCAGCCCCATCCAGGGCCCTGCTCCTGGCACTCCCACTGCCCCTCAGCCTCCTTGCTGCCCTCTGACTCCGTGTGCCCTCCCTCACTTGTGGGCCCCCCTTGCCTCCGTGCCCAGGTTGCTGCGGGTGCAGCTGTCACAGCCCTGAGAGTCAGGGTGGAGATCAGGTACTCAATTAAACATCACTCTTTTCCATGCCTCCTTATTCCTCGGCCTCGGAGGCCCCGCCTTTTCCTGGGCCTGCTGTCGTGGGAGTCCACAGGTGAACCAGATGAGGATGAGGTGGGGAGTTCCAGGCAGTTCACACTGAAAATTGCAGAGCCTCCAGGATCTGCCCCCATTCAAAGGTTTGGGGTGGCTCCCACAGAAGGTGGAGGGGGTGTGAAGGGGTGATATTAGGGTCAGATGATCGAGGGCCCTGGAACATACCGCCCAGGCTGAAGCTGGGGCTGCCAGGACCCAGCTGGGGTGCAGCTGTCTGGGCTGGAAAGTGGGTGCTCTTTCTGGGATAACTGTGGGAGTCAGGCTTTCCTTAACTTTGGCTGATTTCTGACAAGAGGCTAGAATATAGCCTTTCATTGCCCCAAAGAGCCATAGTGAACTTTGACCCTTTATCCCTGTCCCCTGTCTGGAGACAGTGCAGTCAGAAGTTATTCCAGCCCTCAGCAGCCAGGCCTGCCCATAAAAGGCTCGTGGTGGCTCCATGTCAGGGGGAGGGCAGGCGGAGCCCAGGCCTGGACTTCCCCAGTCTTCAGCAACTGCTGCTTTGTGTGACCCTGAGTGGCCCCTACCCCTCTGGACTTCTGCTGCCTGGCCACACAGGAAAATTCTGCATAAATAGAATGGCCTTTGTCACCCCTATGTATGAGAAGCCCATGGGTTGGACTCCAAGGGCAGAGGTCAATCAACTGCCTCCATCTGGTGTCAGAGTCCTCAGCTTCCATGGCGGGGGCCTTTTGCCATCACTCTGCCCCTCACTGCTCCTAAGACCCCATGTTATATATATGCCTTCCTCATCAGCCTGGATCACTCTCCTCCCTGTACAATGATAATCCAGGTCCAGGTCAGGAGCCAGGTTTGACTCTTCTGTGTCCCCAGCACTGGGCACAGACCATCACAGGTCTATTGAAAGTCATGAACGCAGCCTTGTGAACTCAGCACCCAGAGAGCTGGCAGTGTCCCTCCCGAGTCCTGTGCCTGCCTCCGGGGTGGGCCCAGGTGACTGCAGCTGCCCCTCAGCCTCTTGGCTCCCATTTCTCCCTCTATCTCATCCTAATTCAGGCTGGGAGAAGAGTCAGGGAGGGGACTTTAGCCTGGTCTGAGCCATCTGTCACTGACTGCTCATCACCCTCCACATAAATGCCCCAGGAGTAGTGCATCCTGAGGGGTCATCTCAGGAGGCCGTTTTCTAGGCCTGGCTCTGAGGAGGCACTCAGCTTTATTCACAAATCTCTGCAGGCTGCTTTTCCAGCAGGCTCCTCTGGCTCAGGAACCTCTGGTGTCTCGAGACGTTAGTGTTCAGGCCTAGGTTTCAGAGCCGTAGTCTGTTCGATGCCATCTGGAAGCACCTCTGTGCATCTTCCCTCCCCCAGGTGCTATTTGGGCCTTTGTCTTCTGGTCAGAGATGCTTCTTTTAGGTGCTCGTAGTGGGAAATAGTAGAAGAGGAAGCTGCAAAGAAGCTGGCACTGTTATGGTCAGCAGGTGGAAGGCGCTGCTGTGATCTCCTAGGGCCCTGGGACCTCTCAGAACAGCTGGGCATAGAAGGGGCTACCAAAACAGCCCGAGGTCCCCCTTGGCTTCTTAAATATACTCTGATTCCCAAGAGGGGCCCAGACCCCAGCTTTCTTTCCTGCACCCTCTAGCCCACCAACCTTAGCTCTGTGTACCCCTGACCCAGCCCTGCAGCCCACAGCCCCAAGCTTGAGCCTCTGGGCCTCATGCCGGGCCTGGCAGCAGCCTCAGCTTCATCACAACGTGTGAAACAACGGTCGCCCATTGCCTTGAGCTTGGTATCTGCTGGGCTGGGGGTTCCATTTCTGAAGCCACCTCTACTCACTCCCTTGGGCTGGATCCCTGCCAGGCATGCGGAAGTCTCCTCACCATCGGGGCTCCTCCCTGGCCAGACAGAGTCCCTCCTGCTGCCACAATGTCCCCCAGTGACCCTCTCTGCCTCCTCATGGCCAGTCTGGGTGTGGCCTCACACCCTGACCCATGCACTTCAGCCATTTCGCGCCAGAAAGGGTGGCTAAAGTAACCCCTTATCCTGTTACTCCTTCACAGCCACCGCCATCCCTGGCAGAAAGGGTGGGAGAGAGGCAGGTCTGGGTGGGGAGAGCAGTGTATCTCCAGAGGGACAGTGGCACCATACCAGCTCTGCTGAGGCAGTACCCATGTGGATGGGGCGAAAGGAGCCAAGTCTGGGCTGGGGAGCAGGACACCTACTAGATTGTCTGGTTCCTGCCCCTGAGGGGCCATGAGGATGTAGCCACGGGCCTCAGCTTCCCTCTATGACCACAGCTTCTGTGGTCCCCACATGAGCTCAGAGTCCAACATTCCTGGACCCTGGCCATGGCTTGAGCTCCAGGGCCTGCCGCCCAAGCTGTCCAGGATGTCTTCATTTCTCTCCTTTCTTCTTCTTGGCCTCATTCTTCTCATCCTCCTCTACCTTGATGGCCACTGTGTCCACACTGTCCTTCTTCTTCTTCTTCTTCTTATCCTCTGTGGGGCAGGGGAAAGACAGCATGTGATGGTGGTGAGACAAGGTCCTGGGGTCTGACTATCCCGAGGGGAAGAGCCCCAGAACCTCCTACACCCTGCCTTTTCCTTCCTTCTTCCTACCGGGGAATAGGCTCATCATTCCATTTGCCTCATGCTAACCAATTTCTGTGCTCTAGTCTCCAGGGGCAAGGTTAGGGCCCCTCCCTGAACCTGCTGTGGTTGGAGCGGAGGAACAGGGTGACTCCAGGCAGCAGGACTGAGGAACTGGCTGGCACAGCAGGGCTCGAGCCAGGGCCAGCTCACCTCCTGGGACTTCTGTGAGCTCATTGAGGGGTGGCACAGTCTCCAGCTTGTCTGTGTACATCTTGGCTGCCTTTCGCTGCAGGTACCGGGCTTCAATCTCCTTCCGGGTCCGTGGCACACGACAGTTGAAGACACAGCACAGGGTGATGACTGTAGGGAGGACAGAGCAGGCTTGGCTGGGGCTGGGGTTCAGACACCCCAGGAATGGCACCCGCCTGCCTTCAGGTCCGCCCCCATCCACCCACATGTGTCTCACCCACCAAACTCTGGCAGGAGGCTCAGCATCTTGACAAGACCCCTGTGATGACCAAGGTGGCTTTCCTAAGCAGGGCTGACTTCATGGAGCTGCACAGGCCCCCATGCTTGGAAGGGCCCCTGGCTAAATTATGTCACCAGTCCTGGTCCTGAGGGTCTTTCTGACTAGATTGAGAGTCACTGGAGGGTAAGGCAGAGGTCTGCATCATGACTTAAGCCATAGCTTCCTGGGGGCCATCCAGCACTTCCAATCCAGGCCTCTGGGTGTGCAACTTACCTTCTCCTCCCCATGCCACTTAGCTTCTCCTCCCCATGCCACTGAGAGCTGGGCCAAAGCTGCCTCAGTCATGAGAGGACGTGGCTCTGCATGTCCTCCTCAGCCTCCCAGGACATCCCTGGGCTCTCCCTGGCTAGGGCAGGAGCCCATGAGAGGGCACAGACACTGCCCTGGGGCGTTCACCTCAGACGGAGTTATTTCAGGAGTGGTTTTCCGGCTTAGGGCAGCTGCACCCACGCCAGTTGGTCCAGGGCATGGAGCTGGCCTGTCTAGTGATGGGCAGGGCAGGTCAGCGTTGCCAGGACTTGGCTGGACTGAGTTTATTTTTCTAAGGCCCCCACAGCCTGACCACCTTGGCCCCAGTCCCAGGGGAGGGGATGGAGCTGGTTCCTATTATAAATCAGATGACCAGACATAAGTTCCTGGCAGACTCCTGGGGGCAGAAAGGCCCAAGGAGGATAAGCCAGGTCTATTTTGGGGAATATGGATCAGATCTATGTAGTCTGGACTGGAGTACCTTCTGGGGTCATTTTATGCAACCAAGGCAGAACCCCTTCAGACAAATATTGTGGTCCCATTAGGTCTCAGCCAGGCTCAGAATAAAAGAAAAAAAAATCAGTGAATGAATGAATGGGATGATCTCAAAGCCTTTGCTTCTGGGAACAGGACTGGACTCTAGAGTGAACGAACTGGGGAGCCAACAGCATCCAGGCATACACTTGGAGGAGGGTGCTGCACAAGGACCCCAGCTGTAGATCTGACTGTCCGGGGGTGGACCTGAGTAGACAGCAGGTCTTATCCAAGAAGCTGGGTCCTGGATTTCTCCAGAACCTGTGTCCATGCCTAAGACCCAAAGCTGGTACCCAATCCTAACCCTTTGGGCTTAGGCCACCTCTTCTAGCCACTCACCAGGAACCTCCTTGGGACCATGCCCACTCAGGCTCCATGCAAGCTGGTCCTAGGCCCTGGGAGGCTGGGGCTTCCAAAGGCACTCAGTGGGCAGCTGATGGCAGCCAGAGCAGGGCTCAAACACCGCCTCTCACTTCAGGCCTGCCCCACACAGCCTGGCCTGGTTGCTTCTCTTCAAAGAAGCGAGACACAAAGAGCTTTGGGTCAAGTTCCAGGGCCCAGGCAGAGGCTTGGGATATAAGTCCCTGGGTCTGGAGGAGACCTCCAGGGGCACCCCATCTAGCCCCATCCTCTTTTCCTGCAGGGCTTTGAGGGCGATGCTCCAATAACAGCCTCACCACGTAGGCCCAAGCAGACTGGGAAGCAGGAAAAATGTTTCCCGCCAGGAGAGGGAGCTGTGTTATCCCCACTGCCTAGATCCGGCAATGGAAGGTAACAAGTGCTGCCTGCTGCTCAGGTGTCTTGGAACTATCTCTTACCCTTTCTAGGAAATGGGGTTAGAGATGGTCTGCGTGGTTGATGTCCGAGTGCCACTTGGGGTCTGACACTGCAATTTTCTCATGTGGCCCCAGGCACCTTTGTTGTGTCTTGAGGCCCACAGCGCTCTCCCCGCTGCTCCCTAGACCTGCATCCTAGGCTGTGCCTGTGGCTCCTGTAGGGCAGATGACCTCCCAGCCCTGCAGCGGGCTGTTTCCCTCTCTGGACACCTGGCTGAGGTTGCAGGCACACCTGTCTGTCTGAGGGGCCTCCACGAAGATGCCTGACTGGTTCTCAGCCTCGGCTGGGAACAAAGCACAGGCTCTTGCTCAGATGGGGGGCGGGGATTTTCTGCAGGGCAGATATTTTCTCTTGGGATGGCACTTCTGGTGCCAGGAGAAGCACATGCAAATCAGATGTCATGTGTTCCTTGGAGCCCCTCACATCTGGGTAGGCTCTCTGTCGACCACCCAGCTCTCTGGGGCTCCCCATCCCGGGACAGCTCTGGCTGGGACTAAGTGCAGCTTTCACCTCCCAACCCAGGTTGCACTCAGCAAATGTCCAGTTGGGGTCATTTGAGACCCTGCGCAAGGCTGCATCTCCTCCAGTCTCTGCTTACAGTATTCCCTCTGCCCAGAATGCCTTTCCAGCCTCCCCTCCTGCAAAACCCCATCCACCCTCCCACCGGTCTGCAGCGCAGAGGACCCTCCTCTGTGACGCCTTTGCAGGGGAGCGGGCTGCTTCTCCCTTTACTGCCTGCATTCCCTCATGCTCTGCTTTTGCCTCGTGGGAACCTCTGTCAGACTGTTTTGTGCCATGGCAGCCTCCCCACTCGGCCTCTGTCTCCTGTGCCTTTCTGTCCCCTTCCCCACCTCCAGACCTCCACCCTGAAGGGAGGGCTAAGGGGAGCAGGCCAAGCCCATTTCTGCTGTGACTTTGCATCAAGAAGCTCCCAGAGCCCAGGATAGGAATGGGTTTCCTGCTTTTAATTGAGGCGGGTGTGAGTCATTCCCGGAAAATGGTATTTGACAAGGCAGGGATCGAAGCCTGGGAGCCACATCTGCTGGGCGTCTGGGGAGCCTCTAGTGGAGGATGGCCTTGTTGGGGCCCCTGGGTGTGGGCCTTTAAGCTGGCCAAACTGCAGGAAAAGCATCAGGAGGCCAGCCATAGGGAAAAATGACACGTCCTCGTCCTAGTCCTCAGTTCAGTGGAGTTCCCTGTAATTACCATAATTGCCATGTGGCTACCTCCCTGGGTCCGGCAGAACACTTCAGGTCACCACCGGCCTGTCAGCCCTCCACAGGGAGTTTGTGAGGATCAGGAGGTGCCAGAAACCACTGTGGGTCTCCTGCGGGTGCCTGGCCTACTTGCACTGCCCGGAATTGTTGCTCCGAGCCCTCTGGGGGGCAGGCGGTGCTGCGTTCCCACTGCAGTGTGGCGGAGAGGGAAGGGAACAGCTACTCACTGATGGACAACACGAACAGTGAAAAGATGCCCACCACATGCCACAGGCGCATGTCCCAGAATACCACTGTCTCCTTGGTCAGCGGGGGCGGCTTGGGCTTGGGCGGGGCCGTGCTGGGCTGTGGGTCAGGAGAGAGGGGAGTGAGTTAGGCAGAGGCCAGCTGGCTGGAACCTGCTGAGAAGGGCCCAGGTCTCAGCAAACACTCAGCCCAAGCATATCAGAATCTCCTAGAATCAACTCTCTTAAGCATGCACTACCAACACCCTAGACCTAGGAAAGTTCCAGATTTAGAGCAAGAGAACTGAGCAGAGCCAGGGATTTGAAGTGGGAGGGTGGTTGATGCTTGGGGAAACCAAGGCCTGGAGGAGCAAACATGGATGGCTTGTCCTGGCCAGGTTCAAGACCCCTACGAACACACCCTCCTACTCCAGTCCTGGGCTCCACCCAGGCAGATGGGGTCTCAGGACCAAGGCCAGAGACAAGGTAAGGCCTGGGGGGTGCTGGTTGACTGGCTTTGCTCTCACATCTCCCCAGTGAGGGTGAGGTGTGGAGCTAGGAGTCAGGGCCTCATCGTTCTGCCAGCTGGCCTGGACCCCTGCCAGGCAGCCTCCTTTGGTCGCCTACCCTACTGGGAGTCACTCTCTGAACAGAAGACTGCCAGAGTGTCCACAGGACAGGCACTGAATAAGTAAAAGGCCTGCAGTGCTGCGGCGACACCTGGAGGTCAAAAGGCAGAATCGTGTCTGTAGCAAGCCTGAATAGAGCACGGCCAGACATTCCCACTTTCCAGGGGGATGTGACCCTGCCCTGGGGGACTGAAGGGATAGGACACTGCCCCAGGGTCTAGAGGACACAGTCCTGCCCCAGGTCTGAGAGGACACAGCCCTGCTCCTGGGTGTCTAGGGGACAGAGTTCTGCCCAGGTCTGAGGGGAGACAACCCTGCTCCTGGCTGTCTAGGGGACATGATCCTGGCCCTGGGTGTCTAGGTACATGCTTCACCCTGAGTGTCTAGGTACATGCTTCACCCTGGGTGTCTAAGGGACATGATTCTGCCCTGGGTGTCTAGGGGACATGGCCCTGGCCCTGGGTGTCTAGGGGACATGGTTCACCCTGGGTGTCTAGGGGACAAGGTCCTGCCCTGGGTGTCTAGGGGACATGATCCTAGCCCTGGGTGTCTAGGGAACATGGTTCACCCTGGGGGTGTAGGGGACATGATTCTGCCCTGGGTGTCTAGGGGGCATGGCCCTGGCCCTGGGTGTCTAGGGGGCATGGCCCTGGCCCTGGGTGTCTAGGGGACATGGTCCTGCCCTGGGTGTCTAGGGGACATGGTCCTGGCCCTGAGTGTCTAGGGGACATGGCCCTGGCCCTGAGTGTCTAGGGGACATGGCCCTGGCCCTGAGTGTCTAGGGGACATGGCCCTGGCCCTGAGTGTCTAGGGGACATGGTCCTGGCCCTGGATGTCTAGGGGACATGGTCCTGCCCTGGGTGTCTAGGGGACATGGTTCACCCTGGGTATCTAGGGACATGGTCCTGCCCTGGATGTCTAGGGGACAAAGTCCTGACCTGAGTGTCTAGGGGACATGGTCCTGCCCTGGGTGTCTAGGGGACATAGTCCTGACCTGAGTGTCTAGGGGACACAGTCCTCCCTAGGTCTGAAGGGACATGGACCCACAGTGTGGAATTTGAGTAGATGTGTCCCTGACCAGAGATGGATATGACCCCATGTCTGTCACTTAGTGTGGCGGAGGGGTAGGGAGAGGGGTCTGTCCTCTGAGGGAGAGAGAACCCTGGGGCATATGAGCGAGATGTTGTCCCCTGATTACCAAATAAGGACAGACACGAGTAGTCCCTTCTGGTTTTCTGAGAACAAAGGCAACCTGCAGTTCAACCATCCAGTCCTTCTTCCCCAGGTCCATAAACATGGATTAGCATCTGTCATGAGCCAGGTGCTTCTTCATCCAGTGCATGCCACCCTTCAGCGGCTGCAGAACTCAAGAGAGGATCAGCAACCTGTCCCAGGTAACCCAGAAGATCTGTGGTCTGGGATTGGTACCTGATTCTCAGGCTCTTTTCTCCTTGCCAGGGTGAGCTATTGACAAGATGACACCATTCCTCAGTACTGTCCCCTGGATATATGTGAGGGGTCAGACATGTATGTAAAGTTGGGGAATATGTGTGAGGTTGGGCACACGTGTGGTTGGCGTGCATGTGGGTGTGGTCAGGGACATGTCTGTGCCATTAGGGTTAGGGGCTTGGTGGTGGCAGCTGCCCTAATTCTAAGGCCCAATGTGTTGGCCCGATTGGTTGTATGACTGGGAGACTCTGAGGGCCATGGCGAAGTTCTCAGGTTCTGAGCCAAGGCAGCTCACTTCCTACACATTCTTGCCCCAGCCCTGATGTGGGTGGAGCTGGGCCTACTCTCACTGATAGGGGTCTTGGGTGGACGACAGCAGGTAACAGCTGGTCTTCTCCTCATGGTGGGCCCTGCTGGGGTCTGATTTCTGAAGCATGGAGGCCCCCACCTCCTTCAGGGCCTCATGGGCTGATGGAGGGTGATGGTGAGCCACGCAGGACTGAGGTGGGTGGTGACATGGCCCCCAGCCCTGCCTATGTCTCTGCTGCTTCCGTGAGGGAAGAGCTAGGGCTTTGCTCAGGCTGTAGGCAGATGTCAGGCAGATGGCCTCCAAATGCAATTTCCTGTGATGAACTGGGAGAAGATGAGTTCCTGGGGGTGAGGGAGAAGGGTCCTTGGCTCAGAACTGACTTAACCCCGCCCCCAGCTTTCTGTCTGCACCTAGGCCAGCTCAGTTTCTGTACCCAGGCCTCAGGACAGCCTGTGAGGGGCCTAAGTATGCCCCACGGGGCTCAAGCCAGCATAGCTCCCCTTACAGGGACACTGGAGCTGACACCTGACTCTAGCCCAGCTTCGTGGTCACGCCCTCTGGGCAACAGCAGGGACAGGCTACATCTGGATTCAGGGCTCTGTCCCTATGTCCCCATCAAACCCTCCAGTTCAGGGCTGTGTCCCCCCATAACGACCTCCCCATGGCTCTGTCCTCCCTATCCCACACTGTACCCAAGCCCCTGCCACTCAGGACTTCCCTGGGCACCTCTAACTGCCTCTGCATTTCTGTTTTCCTGCTCCTTCTGGTCCGCCCCTGCCTGCACAGCCTGCATCCCTGCTCCTCCCTCGCCCGGGCTCCTGGGCCTTCTCCTTCGGGTCTCACAATCCAGAACTCTAGGTCCGGTCTGCCAGCTCTCTCATTGGCTCCCCTTTCAGGCTTAGCAGGAGTGGGGTACAAGGGGGTTAGGGAGGCTACAGATGGCCCCACCCTTCCTGGCGCCAGCTGGGCTCTGTCAAACCACCCAGCCATCCTCTCCACCTGCTTCTGTGCTATCTCAGCAGCTCCTCCCACCTCTCCCACTGTGTGCCTGCTTCCAATTTACCCTCCTTTCAACCCAGAACTCATCCTGACTCGTCCCTGAGCAGAAACTTTCTAAAGCTCCCGGTTATCACCAGGACCAAGTCAGACTCCCCAGTCCCTGGGTCCTGCCCTGCCTGCCCCTCTGGACCTAGTGCTCCACATGGCTTCTCTGTAAAGGGTCTCCTCATCCTGCTGCCCCCACTCTCCAACTTGGAATGCCCTCATCTCTATCTTAAGGCTATGTCTCCCCCTCCATTAGACAGGGGTCCCTGGAGCATCTCTGGAGATAGAGGCTGTTGCCTCCAGAAGACCCTAAATTCAGGGTCTAGATCTGCTCCATCAGACTAGAGGTCCAGAAAACCCAGGGCTGTGCACCTCCCCGCCAGTGAGACCAAAGGCTGGAGGATGGGGACCCAGTATCCCCCATCAGTCTGGGCAGGGCTGTGTCCCCAGTCAGACTGGGAATCCCTAAAGTCAAGGTGAGTCTCCCCTGTTCAGACTAATGTTCCAGAAATCGGGGACTGTGCCCTTCCATCAGACCAGGAACCCCAGAGTGGGGGCTGAGTCTCTCTCACAGCCTGGCAGGGCTTGGGGCAGGGCTGCATCGCCCAGGAGACTGGATCTCTCAGGGCAAGAGGAAGGGATCAAACAAGCTCCGGATCAGAAAGGCCCCCCCTCTCCCCCAGCGCCCTGCCTGGAGGGTGACAGCCTCCCCAGCCCCTCCGCGCGGCGGCCTCACCTCCACCAGCTGTCCGGCAACCCCCGCGAGGCACACCCCGAGTGCGGCACCGCCCAGCACCCAGAGGGTCCCCGCGCCCGGCTGCCCCGCCATCTTCGTGCCACCGCGCCGCTTGCGGAACCCAGGGACGAACGGGCCGGCCGCCGGTCACTGCCCCTGCCAGTCGGCGCTTGGCGGCCGCCAGCTTTGGCCACGGGTAGTGAGCGAGCATCATTTATTCATCCTCGGTGTCAGGTTCCCGCGCCTCCCGCCCCAGCCATCGCTTCGGTGGAGGGCCCGCCCCCTCCCTCCCGGGAGATCGGGCTGCAGGCTCCCCATCCCTGCCCTCACCTTCCGCGCCCCCAGGGACACAGGTGGGGGTGGGCGGGAGGGAGGACAGGTTGGGGCCAGGTCCCTAATCAACAGGTCCCCCTCCCTTCTGCAAATGGGCCTCAGTTTCTCCATCCGGGACAAGGGGGTGGGGCTGGAATCTGCTGATCTAGGAGGCCCTTCCCATTCTGTCATGCTAGATTTGAAAAATATACTGGATTTGAGTTTGGAGGGGGCAGAGTGGGCAGGTTGCCATGGTGACAGGCACTCAGGGATGTCCTGGTCTTTCTGGCCTGGCTTCCTGCCCAGAGGCGGCTCTGGTCACCCTGGACACCAGAGCCGGAGAGCAGGAGATGGTATGGTCAGAGCTGCCAGCCGGCAGTGTTATGGAGAGTTCCAGAAGAAGCCAGCATCTTCAGCCCCATAGGACAGAAGTGGGCCGCCCCTGGAAGGACTGGAAGACTATTTTCTGACTCTGACTGCCCTCAATCTCTGCCCCAGCCTGAACGCTGACTCTGACTTCAGTCTAAGTGCAAGGACCCCAACCTCATGCTGAAGTTGACCCACACTGCACTCTGGCCCTGACCCCATGTTGAGCCTTGACAACTGAGGGACAGAAGGAGGTTCTGAGGAAATGTAGAGACCTGGGGGAGGGGCTGAAGACTTAAGAAGAGGAGTGGGGAGGCCTGGAGTTGGTAGACTCCTCCTCCCTCCTTTCCTTCCTTCCTTCCTTCCTTCCATTCTTGTCCTGCTGCTGAGTGTTGGAAGAAGCAGTCCAGGTGTTGGGCCCCTGGAACCCTTATCACCAGGGACACCGGTGAAGGTCTGTGCAGGCTGGGGATGGCCCAGCAAGGTCTGCCCTGAGAACCGGGGAGACCTTGTGGCTGCAGAGCCCCGTGAGGTTCTGGCCTGGACATGCCATGAATGGGCAAGGACCACAGCAGGCTGCAGCAGGGAGCAGAGGGCCACCTGTGGTCACCTGCCAGTGTCAGGGAGGGCCACCTGCGGGCACCTGCCAGTGTCAGGGCCTGGAGATGACAGCCAGGCAGGAAAACGAGAGCTGCTGGAGAAGGACTGTGGCCCAGGAGACCCATCGAGGAAATGCTCAACAGCAGGAGGCAAAATCCGGGGATTGAGTGGGCTGGGCCAGCCAGTCCTCCCCAGGCATGCCCTGGCCAGGCAAACAGGAACTCTGCTAAAATCCAGATCACTTGTTACATCACTCCAATCCCCACTTCCTCATGCTGCTGCTCACAGGCCAGGCTAGGGAAAGCCACACTGACCAGTCAGGGAGGTCACCCTCGGGACATGGGGTCAGGGAAGCTGGACAGGGTGAGGACTAAGTGAGCCTGTCAGTGACGCATTGAGCAAAGCGTTACTCCTCTGTTTCTGTTTCTTATCCATGGAGTGGGGAGGGTGAGACTCCCAGGACGGATGTGAGGATGATATGAATTAACGAATATGGGAGTGCTGGCTCTCCTTAGCAGGACAGGTAGCACTCTGCTGCTTACAGGCTCCCAATCACAGCTCAGCCAAGGGGAGAGCTATTTCTGTTTTCTGTAAAGTTCATCCATCCATCAAGAAGTAGGGCAAGCCCAGTGAATAAATCTGAAAGAAAATACAATCACATGCATCCCCCGGAGCCCCCTGAGATGGCCCCTGCTCTGCGTGGGTTCCACTTCTCTGCAGACTCCTGAACACAGCTGAGATCTCACTGTACACTATTTCTGTGTACTGTACACTGGGTACACTTTTGTACCCATAACTTTTTTTAACCAACTCAAGTACTCTAGATCCTCCTTGACCCCACCACAGCCAAATACTATCACACGGGCTTCAAAGTCAAACTGATTGAACTTAAATAGCAGGATGTCCCAAGGGCTTCAGTGCAGTTTTAAGCTTTAATAACCTCAGAAGTATAAAATACAAATGTATAAGAGACACCATTTAGCCAGGTGCAGTGGCTCATGCCTGTCATCCCAGCACCTTGGGAGGCCAAGGTAGGCGGATCACCTGAGGTCAGGAGTTCGAGACCAGCCTGACCAACATGGAGCAACCCCATCTCTACTAAATATACAAAATTAGCTGGGCATGGTGGCGCATGCCTGTAACCCCAGCTACTCATGAGGCTGAGGCAGGAGAATCGCTTGAACCTGGGAGGCAGAGGTTGCGGTGAGCTGAGATCGTGCCCTTGCACTCCAGCCTGGGCAGCAACAAGAGTGAAACTCTGTCTCAAAAAAAAAAAAAAACAAAAACAAAACAAAAAAAAAAGCACCATTTGAAAGTTTAAGTTTCCTTTTGTGCCTCTGAAGATAGTAAAAGTTGACTGAAAGAAATTTAAGTCGGCTGAGTGTGGTGGCTCATGCCTGTAATCCTAACACTGGGAAGTTGAGGTGGGAGGAATGCTTGAGATCAGGAGTTTGAGACCAGCCTAAGCAATATAGTGAGACCCCTGTCTCTCTAAAAATAAATACATAAATAAAAACAAAAAAAGAAAAGAAAAAGAAACAGGTCATTCAAAATTCACAAAACTAAAGTAGCATAAAGAGAATTTAAACTTTCAAAACATTTTTTTGGGAAATTTGTAGCTTTATATGTCCTAACTTCTGAAGTTATTAAAGTTTAAAACTTTAAACTAAGTTTTAAACTAAGGTTTCTGGGACATGAGCATACTGACAGCTGTGAACCCTCAGGTGGGCTACTTAACCTCTCTGAGCTTTAGTCCCTCATCTGTAAAACAGATAAAATTCAGGATCATGGGCCAGGTGCAGTGGCTCACACCTTTGGGAGGCCAAGGTAGGAGGATCATTTGAGCCCAGGAGTTCGAGACCAGCCTGGGCAACATAGCAAAATGCCATCTCTATTTTTTTTTAAATTCAGTATCATGCACCAGCATATCACAAGCCTTCATTAAACGCTAGTCATTATGATTATTATCACTCTTGTTAAACGCTGTGTGATACTACACTGTATAAAAACTCAACAAGGACCTGGTGTGGTGGCTCACGCCTGTAATCCCAGCACTTTGGGAGGCTGAGGTGGGTGGATCACGAGGTCAGGAGATCGAGACCATCCTGGCTAACACAGTGAAACCCCATCTGTACTAAAAACACAAAACATTAGCCGGTAGCACGTGCCTGTAGTCCCAGCTACTCGGGAGGCTGAGGCAGGAGAATTGCTTGAACCCAGGAGGAGGTGGCTGCAGTGAGCTGAGATCGCGCCACTGCACTCCAGCCTGGGTGACAAAGCAAGACTCCATCTCAAAAGAAAAAAAAAGAAAAGAAAAAAACCTTGTTGGATCTCTGTCCTATTGTTGGACATTTCCATTGCTTCCAATTCTCTAGTATTAAACACCACGTTAAGGCGAACATCCTGAAAGTTGAAAACTCTCTCAAACTGTATCTTTTCCTCTGCACGTACACCAACACAACAATCATCCACACAGAAGTCTTCTGTGATCAAATGTGTGGGTTTTCCCCCTAAACGCCAAGCAGCAGACACCAACTGAGTGCCTTCCAATTCAATTCTGATAGAATCTACCTGGAGATAGTGTCAGATCCCACAGATTGAGGCCTCAGTTTCCAAGACTACCCACCCAGCCCCAAGACACTAGTCCAGTCTGGCCTCTGGAACTTCTGACCAAGCGGCTTCACGTTGGGGTTCCTACAACCTCCTCTTTGGGCTTCATTTGCTGGAGTGGGTCACAGAACTCAGGGAAGCACTGACTTACTTTTACTGGTTTACTGTAAAGGGTATTACAAAGGATACAGGTGAAGAGATGCATAGGGTGAGATATGGAGGAAGGGATGTGGAGCTTCCACGCCCTCCTGGGCATGCCAGCCAGCCTCCACATGTTCAGCCATTTGGAAGCCCTCTGAACCCTGTCCTCCTGGGGTTTATGGAGGCTTCATGACATCTGCATTCCTTCCTCCCAGAGTACAGGACAGGACCCTCTCTGCGGAGAATCTTAAAATTCACGATCAGAAAGGTGCAGGAAGATTAGGGTCCTGGCTTGGGGCAGGAGAAAGCGGGGCAGGAGAAGGTCAGAGAGATTCCGTTTCCTGGGGCCTGCCCTGAGGTCCAACACATTATAGCCAAAGACTGTAACAAGGGCAATGGGAGCTATGAGCCAGGAGCTGAGGATGAAAATCAGTACCTAACACCACATGGGTTTTTTTTCCCGCCATCTTTGAGGGACTTTACATCTCTGAGGGCTTTTCAGTAAGGAATTTAAGTTCATAGAGGATTTATGCCCTGCCTATGGTCACACAGGAACTATGGCCTCCAACTCAGCCTTTGCCTCCAACCCAGGGCACTGCCCAGTGTCCAGTGCTGTTTCTGCTCTTAGGAGGACCTCATCTTAGGAGGCCCCCACATCCCTCTCACCCCAAAATCAGTTGGGCCCATCATATCTGGAGTTGGGGAGCTCTGGACTCCAAGTCCTCCAGCCTTGATCCCTGGAAGACAGTGTCCCCTCCATACATGGTGCTGTGAATGCTGGCCTGCAGAACCCTGCTTTCCCTCCTGTACTATTTTTAGCTCCTGTGAGTTTCCTGTAGGGACCCAGTCCAGCCTCCAGGGCCTCTGGATTGGAAGCTGTGAGCAAGGCAGGGGGCAGTGCCCAGAGGACCCTGTGGAATGTTCTCTCCTGGAGCCTGAAACTCCAGGGCTTAAGGTTTAGCTCTGGGGAAGCTGAGGGTAGGAAATGGGGACCCCCTAGTCACAAAGCTAGGCTAGGATCCAGGGACTCAGCCTAGGGTGGGGGCGGGAGCTGGGCAGTCTAGGCCTGTGCCACAGCAGCTGGGGCCTGCTGGGAGTTGGCTATCCCTGACCTCACTGGCCCCAGGCTCAGCTCAGAATAGCTGTGGGGCTTGGCCAGGCCTGCACCAGACCTGCGTGTGCTTGAGCATGTGCCTTGTGTACTAAGGTACTGGTGCACATGGGAGTGCGTATGCATTATGCATGCAGCTTTGTGTGTGACTGGGTGTGAATCTCGATGGCTCCAGAATCACAGGTGCCATTCACATACATGTGTGTTCCCTGGAGCAGTGTGCAGGTCTGTGTCCCTGCGGATGGGCACACGATCTGCACACACGTGCCTAGGGCCGCCACTAGAGTTGTGCAACTTGGAGTCCTTACCAGTGGGTTCAGTGGTAGATGCGTTCATGTGGACTGTGGAATTGTATCTGTGTGCAGTGACTGTGGGTCGGTGTATACACATCTGTGGTAGGACTGGCCAGGGGCCCTTGGCGTGTTGCAGGGGACTGAAGGCAGGTGGACTCAGCAGAGGCTGTCCTTTGGGCACTACCAGAGGCCTTACCTGACCCCAAGCCAAGAATGAGCTGGAAGAGAGGCTGGGCAGGTCTCGCCCCATTTAGCAGATAGGAAAACTGGGCTTGCAGTGTCCATGAGGTCACACAGGGAATGGGGGAAGGACTGGCCTGCTGCCCAGAGCTCAGTCAGCCTTCCCATTCCCCTAGATGTGGCTGAACAGGAAGTCTGGACTCTAGGGAGGAAGCCGTGGGAGCCCTTCCCTTCCTGCTTGAGCCCAGGCAGCACTGCCTTCCCTCAGCTGCACGTGCAGATGGATGACAGTGAGGCCCAGAGACACCTAGCGTAAGATCAGATCTGTCCTGCTCAGGGCCCTGCCCCACCTGCCCCTATCTGTCACAAGCAGTGAGGCCATATGCTCCTCCTGAGGCCATGGGCTCTCTCCAGCCCTTGCCTCCCTCCCAAGCCCCAGGGATGCCTGGTGATCCAAACCCACGCTCTAGGGGACCCATAGATCCTCTAAACCGTGCTCATCCCTGAAGGAGCCCCTTGAACCCACTATACCCCTCCTCTGAGTCCCACATAACCCTGAGAAGGAGGTGCAGGTAAGATATTTCACCAGCAGGGGCACTGAGCCACAGAGAGGCCGCACACTGCCTGTGATCGCACAGTAAGAGGAAGGCAGCACAAGGCCCCATACCAGGTCTCTTTCCAGAATGTTCTGTTACCTCCCACTGCCCCACAGGCACACAGAATCTTGGAGGCCTGTTTAGAACCTGAAGTCTCAGTTCATTCCACCTGCTGGGGTGGTGGCTCTTCCAGGCTGTGCTGTAGACTCAGGGAGCCAAGTGCCCCAGCAGACAGTCCTGCAGGCCATCAGGGCTGTGAAGCGGGGTGGCAGCCAAGGTCTGGAGCCTGAGGGTGGAGGGCATGGGGAGGGGAGGCTTTCCCAGAGGGCCAGAGGGGACACCTCACTCACCAGAGGCCTCCTTTGAGGCAGCCCCCACCCACCAACACAGCAACCCCTCTACCAGAGGAACAGGGCCTTTGGGAGTGGAACCCCTCAGGCAGCAGGGGGTTCAGGAGGGGGCAAGAAAACAAGGCTGAAAAGGGGGAGGCCAGAGCTAGGACGGGCCTTGGCAGTGTGTGGAGGGATGGAGAAGCAGGAAGGGGCGGCTCTGCATGACTGGGACCCAGGAAGAGAGCAATGTGGGGTAAGAGGGTGAGGTCGCTGTGGCCTGCAGTCACTCAGGCAAGGGTCCCAGGCCGGAAGAAACCCTCCAAACCTAGAGTGATGGGCAGCTTGGCAGATGGTAAACTCCCACCTGGCGACAACCCAAGGGAGCCAGGGGATGAGTTTGGCAGGCCCCAGGCCCCCATTTACCTCCACTGGGGGGTCTTCAGCCTGGCAGGATGGGGGATGCCTCCCACCTCCTCAGTAGGGGGCTGAGTAGGGGGCTGGTGGGCCACCCTTTCTGCTTTTCCACAGCCGTCTTGGACCCTGAGCCTCCTCCTCACTGGAACCTGGGTGCCACTGACAGCAATGGGTGACTAGCCTGGTGGCCAGAGGGGGCCTTCTTTGTTACAGGTTTCAACTACGTTCCCTCCCGCTCCGGGGGAGTCTGTCCCAGACCAGTCTTCAGTCACCCTTTCCAAGGTCTCAGGCCTTCGCACAAAACACCCCCGGCCAGCTTCATGCTCTGCTAGGCCTGTTCAGACTCAGGAGTGGGGAGGAAAGGGGACTTCCCCAAGGTCGCACAGGAGGGGCGGCCGGCCGTGTACACCCAGCCCAGGGGGCCGCAGGGCGCCTCAGTATACCCCTCTATCGGCTCCAAGTTCCACGAACCCACACAGCGCTCCGCGTGTGCCGGCTTCTGTGACTCAGGGCAGACCGGGGAGGTCACGAGGCTGCACCACAGGCTCGCAGAGCGACTGCCTGGCAGGGCGAGGTGGTGGCGCGGCGGCGGCCTCAGAGCCTTGCAGGGGAAGCAGGCGCGCGAGAGGCGAGCCTGAGTGTGCGCGTGGGTGCGTAGGGGGCGGAGGGGTCAAGTTTCCCACTTTTCTTCCCCGCCCCGGGTCCCAGGGGCCTCCGCATCCCGGGGGACACCAGAGGGAGACCTCAGGAGAGGCTTGGGGCGGGGGACGGATCAATGCCGCGCGCCACCTCCTCCGTGGCCCGCCCGTGGCCCCCGCAACTCCAGAACAACACCCGGAGGCGGGGCGGGGCGGGGCGGGGAGGGGCGGGGCTGGGCTGGGCGAAGGGGGCGGGGCTGGCAGGGGGCAGGGTCGGGGTGCGAGCTCCGAGCTGCGCGCAATCCAGGCGCGGGGCAACCACAGCGCTCAGGTAAGGGCGCGACGGAGGGTGCGCGTCTGCGGACGGGTGTTTGGGTTCCACGCTTAGCCAGTGCAGGTGGGGACTCCCGCCTCCTTGGCTGCCGCGGTCCCCGCCCAGCTCCTTGGTCCCAGCGGCAGTCATCCCCCGGCTGTCCGAATCCCTCGTAAGACCCCCCTCGGTCCCCGCGGGGCTCACAGCGTCGTCCTCCTTACCTGGCTGCTAGCCGGCTCGGGTTTGGGGCAGCGCCCCGGGCCTGACCTGAGCCGTGGTGCCGGGGCCACGGGGCCCCAGCCAGCAGGAGAGACTGCCAGGAGGAGGTGACGCCGGCTGGTTAGGGCGGAAGGGACCGACCCGGGATTCCAGGCGGTGGCCTTTTCGCATGGGAGTGGCATGGCAAATGCCTGGCGGCCGGAACAGGAGCTCGGGTCTGGGAAACTCCAGCGACTGAGTGTGTGCCTGGGCAGGGAGAGAAAGGGAAGCTGGGACATACGCGACAGCAGGGAGGGGTGCTTGCCTAGGACAAGAGGCTTGGAACCACGGAGGGGCCGGGAAAGGGTGCAGCGGGGAGAGGCGAGCATGAGACTGAGGGATCAGGTGTGACAGTTCAGTGCCCCCTCCCTTGGGCAGTGCGTCTCTCTACTGTCTCCCACTGGGCACCAGATAACAGATAACGAAGGGGCTTCCACAGCAGCCCATGAAAAAGCCTCCACAGAAGGCAGAACTTCCCTGCCTGTTCAGACCAGGAAATACCAGAGTGAGTGAGTGTCATGGCAAGGTGTGTCAGGGACCTGAGGAGGCAGGCCTGGGAGAGGACAGGGGAGGCCCCAGTGACCCTGCCCCGGAGGGACCTAGCGTGGACAGAGGCCAGGAATGCAGAGGAGAGACCAGGTCTGGCTACTGGTTAGAGTGCCACTGGGGCAGCCGTTGACTCACCTGGGCACGCTGTGACTGGCCAGTTCTGTCCTCACCCCGCCCAACACCACCCCACTCTGTGGGGAGCATCAGGGCTGCTTGAGGATAGCTATGAGGCAGGGCCCTGCCAGGATCTTGCTCTGTGCCTCAGGTGAGTTGCCCAACCTCTCTGAGCCATCTAGGTAGGTGAACCTGGTGGGCTGGAGCCAGAGGTCTGGGTCTGAGCCCTGCACAAGTTCTACAGATAGGGTCTCTGGGCCCTCCCATTGTTCCTGGGCCTCTGTTTCCCCGTCTGTACATTGGGCACAGCCTGCCACTAAGGAACTTTTGAACTGGAGAGAGGGAGAGGGTGAGGAAGTCATGACCTTGACTGGAAGGGGGAAGCTTAGGGATGGGACAGGGATTGGGGTGGGGGGTACTCCTGCAGGACCCTCCTCATATTAAGGTTTAGTACCTCCTCCTCCTGCCCTGCAAATGTGCACACTCATGCACATTCACGCTGCCTCACCCCTGCACTTACACTCTCCTCATCACTTCCAGGATGAAGCCCCAGACTTCCTAGCCTGGGAGCTGGGCCCCTCAGGGTGACCTAACTAGAATCCCAGCTTCCACCACAGCCTTCCCCCCACCCACTGCCTTACCAGCCATGCTTAACTTCTGCCCATTCCTCTGGGTGGTGTGACTCCGTTTCCCAGGGTTAGAGATCCCTTTGGGGCCACAGATGTGGAAGACTCCCAGATTAACAGTTGCCAACTTGAGTCTGGAGGACTCACCCCAGTAGTCATAGGCTGCTTTGTGGGGTGCGGAGTCTAAGGACCAGATCCCCACACCCAGAGAAGCCCCCTTCCACCTGTTTGTCCTTTTGAGGGGAGAGTTAAGTAGTTTGAAAAGCTGTGATCTGCTTTGGCTGGGTGCAGTGGCTCACACCTCTAATCCCAGAGCTTTGGGAGGCCAAGATGGGATGATCACTTGAGGCCAGGAGTTCAAGACCAGCCTGGTCAACATAGTGAGATCCCATCTCTAAAAAAAACAAAACAAGAAAAAATAGAAAGAAATACAAATAAAAAGGAAAAAATGCTGTGATCTTGTTGAACCCCCATTTCGTAGAGGGGTGGCTGAGGTACAGAGAGGAGTAAGGCTGTGGATAAGTTGAGGCATGGCCAGGGCTGAGCAGCCAGGTGAGGGCTGCTCCTGGGGGAGCAGCTGAGACTGAGCAGTGGGGACAAGGGACAGGAAGCCTGAGGAGGAGGGGCTGTCTCCAGGGTCAGAAAGCTCCTTACCAAGGTATGGTGTCACCTGGGGTCATGGTGCTGGCCCCCCAGAGAGTGTAGGGATGTTGGTGTTCAAGTCTTCCTAACAGCGAGTTATTTACTGCAGTATCTTTTCAACTTGCACTGATGTGGTTCCTGGTCTGCATCTCCCATCCTAGCCTCACCCTTTCTTCCACCTCCCCAACCAGCCTTGGATATCCTCACCTCTTAGCTTAGACCCCAGCTGACTGCCAGGTAAGAGTGGAAAGGTCATCCCCAAAGGGCCTTTCCATTCTAGCAGTTTCGGGAGACATGGGTGAGAGTTAGGTGGGCCTGGCTGCACCCCTATTCCCTTGGCTGGGCTTTCATGGTCTGCCTGAACTGAACCTGGAGCCCCCTGTGTCCTGGGGGCCTGGGTCTGCCTCAGGGGCCCACAGAGGGAGAAGAAGCTGCAGCACAGAAGTTGCAGCTGGGTGTCTGGTGGCTTCCCCTTCCTGCCTCTCCCTCTGCAGCCTCACCCTCCGAAGCAGCAGTAGCAGGAAAGGTGGGGCAGGAATGCCTGGCCTGGGCCCTTGGCCAGAGCTCTGAGGGACCCGCCCCACTCCATTCCAGAGCCAATTCACTGGGAGTTGTAGGCTCTGCCAGGGGCCTGGGATGCCCCCATGGCACTCTCGGGGTGGGGTGGCGAAGGGAGGGCTGAGACCCCTTCCCTTCCCATTCACCCTTTTAGGTCTGTCTGTGTCACCTGCCCATCATTGACTGCCCTGATTATGTCCCCTGCCCCACACAGGTTGGCTAACTCCAAAGCCCAGCATGTCAGAGACAAGGAGAGAGACAGTCTGCGGGTCTTGGGCTAAAAGACCCTGTAACTCTCTGCCCCAGATACCTGATCAGGTCATTTGGGCAGATGAACTTTGCCAAGTGAGGGTACCAGGGTCTGGTGGGGGAGGGCTTTGTTGGAGTAGAGGCTGTAGCCTGGCTGTGGAGGTGGGTTTGAGCCCAGGCCTCTCTTCGCCCCTCCCTTTAGGCAGGACACCACATTCCCAGGTGATTCCTGCGTAATTGGAAGGTCCCTCTCACTCCAGGGCAGAAAATCTCAAGGCTCAAGCCCACCTGCTCACCCCAAGGGCCCCCATCCATCCAACAGGCACCCCTTCAGGGTGGATGGTTGTGATCAGTGATCCCTCTGCCTGGTTGGGGGACCATGGAGGGTCCAGGCTCCCATCCACATTGAACTCTCTCTCACTGCCTGGTACCATCTCCTCTGCAACTGTCATATGTTTATTCCCCCAAATGTTACTTTGGATCCCATCATTACCTTGCTCTAAAGTCTTCCATGGCTGTCCATGGGCGACTGAGGCACAGCGAAGCTGTGGTCCTTTGGGGTGCTGCTTGGTGGGCCGCCCTCAGACGCTGGGCCCTCACACCCATGAGCCTTTACTCTCAGGGTTCCCCCACTTGCCTGCTGGGTCCTCCTTTCCTTTTCATTTCTTGACCATCCTTCGTGGCTCTAGCAGGAGGCCTCCAGACTCCCCCATACCTCCAAAACTCTCCTTGCGTACACAGCCCTGTTGGGTGACAAGGAGTCCTGAACCATGGGCTAGAGGACAAGGCTGGGCTCCTCTGACAGCATGGCCCTGTTTATAGAGACTGCAGAATCCCTGAGGGGAGACTTGATGGAAAGGGGCCAAGACCAGGGCACCACTAACACTACCCTGGGCACTTGGGATCCATGGTGGGTATTTGAGCAGAGGAAGGAGCAGGCCACACTGGGCTTAAAGAACATCTACCCTTTGGGGAAGAAAGGGTTGCTTCCCTTGGCAGCTCTGAGCTCTCTCTCTCCTTCAAGGAGCCCTCAGCTGGGCCCAGGCAGGGAGCAAGGCAGGGGTCAGTGGCCAGTCCAGGAACTCCCCTTTGAGGTGATATGGGCTCACTGCTGAGTTCTGATATGGGTGGTCATGGACCTTGCTTCTGGGCACCCTGCCTGAGAGGATGGGCACTGGCCTTGCTCCTGCCCATGCTATCTAGCTGTAACCTGTGCCCTACATGGGAGGCCCTGAGTCTGGCACCCAGCCATGTGCAACCCTGAGGAGGCAGCCCTGCTGAGGCTGGAGGAGGTCTTCTCAGCCACCCTCGCCCGTGTCAACAGCTGTGTCCTCCAGCCCCTGCTCCCAGCCGGTGAGTCTAGGCTCTCTAGTGGGGTGGGAAGGGCACTGAGGAATGATCCCAGGGACAGGAGTCCTACCTTGTTGGACTCGCTGAGCCACAGCTTTCTCAACCACAAATAGGAGTGGCGACACCTGGTATCAGCATCTTCTGATGGAGGTGGTGCGATCTCGGCTCACTGCAACCTCCACCTCCCAGGTTCAAGTGATTCTTGTGCCTCAGCCTTCTGAGTAGCTGGGATTACAGATGCCTGCCACCATGCCTGGCTAATTTTCATATTTTTAGTGGAGACGGGGGTTTTACCATGTTGGCCAGGCTGGTCTCGAACTCCTGACCTCAAGTGATCCGCCCGCTTCAGCCTTTCAAAGTGCTGGGATTATAGGCATGAACCACTGCACCAGGTCAGACTGCTCCTTTCTTAAAGGAACCCTGAGGGGCCAGGCCATGAACCTACCTGTAGCCCAGACCAGGCTGTGCAAAGAGATGGAATTCCTCCTCTCCCAGGGTAAAAGACTAGAGACTGCCGTTTGCTTGAATTTTCATCTTGCTCCCACCTAGGGCACCTGGTGGTGCTGGGAGGGGAACAAGACTGACTGGAACACAGGATGCCTAGGTTTTACTTCCAGCTTAGGTCTCACTTGTGAGGCCTTGGTCAGGTGCCTCTGTGCATCTGTGAAATGGCAGAGGACTGTGTGACCCTGTGGACTCCACATTCTGGATCTGAGGAGTCCGGGATGAGGAAGCCCAGAGCCAAGGGGGAATTCGTGTATGTACTTAGTTCCCTGAGGCTGTCAGGTCAGGGTTGTCCCTGTTGAGTGAGGAGGTGGGTATGCACCCCTATTTCCTCCTTGAGGGTGCTGCCCACTGCTCCAGCCTGCCCTTCCCCTGCTCAGCTCTAGGCTTTACCAATTCTGTCCTGCGGATCCCAGGGATGCAGACCCTGCCACAGCTCCAGGACTGGCCGGGTCTGGTGGCCCTCATGTGAACACCCGGGGCTTCTGCATGTTCCCCAGTAGATAGAGCCCACGTCCTCCACTCACAGTGTGCCTGTGCTCCTGCCCCAGCCCCAGAGCCCTCGGATCCCTGGGGCAGAGAGTGCCTGCGGCTCTTGCAACAGCTGCACAAGAGCTCCCAGCAGCTCTGGGAGGTGACGGAGGAAAGTCTGCACTCACTGCAGGAGAGGCTGCGCCACCCGGACTCCACCGGTCTGGAGTCCCTGCTGCTGCTGCGAGGTGCTGACCGTGTACTGCAGGCCCACATAGAGTAAGATCACTGGAGGTGGGACTGGGGCTCAGCCCTGGTGTCAGAGTGCCACCTGGCATTAAGGTTCACCTGGGGGTGGGGCTCACATGGATCAGGGTTCAGGCAAAGGTTTGGGCTCAGTCCGTTGTTGGTGCTCACCTGGGGTCAGCCTCATCTGGGCTTGGGTGTTCACCTGACAGCAGGCTCAGACACTCCAGACCTGAGGCTTGGGGCCTCCCAGGGAAGAGAGACTGTATGTTAGAATTGTCTTGTTAGCCCAGGAGTCAAAGTCTCCAGTGCCCAGAGCCAGGCCACTGTCTGGGCTCTCAGGGCTGCAACTGATTAGTGGGTGGGATCTGGGGATCCCAGGGACCAGGGGCTTAGGTCTGGGGCTGAGGACTGGGTTTGCAGGGTGTCCCCTGTGCTGCCGGCAGGTACATCGAATCCTACACAAGCTGCATGGTGGTGCAGGCCTTCCAGAAGGCAGCAAAGAGGAGAAGGTGAGCACAGAGCTGGTGCAGTGGCCCCTGATGGGGCAGGAGTGCCTGAGTGAGGGTGGGGTCAGGGAAGCCCCCTCCCCAGAACAGTGGGTATCACAGTCCACGACTCCTCCTGGAGGACTCCTGGCTCTACAAGTCTGCACAGATCCACACTGGAAGAGAAAGAGGGAAGGCCCAGTGAGGCCAGGAACAGAATCCAGACCCACTCCAGCTGGGCTGGCCTTGGAGCGGGGAAGGAGGGGCGTCCCTTCAGGGTGGATGGTTGTGGATCAGCAATCCCTTCACACTCTGAGATATTGCTCCTAAACCTGTGAGGGTAACTCGGGCACTGTGTTGATCTGACAGGGTAGAGGTTTTGAGCCTGGGGCTGGCCTTGGGGTCTGGGGGGATTAGCTGGGGCAGGGAGGTGGCGGTGTGGGTGCAGGAATGGAGGAAGGGGTGAAGGTGGTGTGTGGCCCTCTCTACACACAGCGAGTATTGGCGGGGCCAGCGGAAGGCGCTGCGGCAGCTGTTGTCAGGTGTGAGCTCAGAGGGCTCGGTGGGCTCGTCGCTGGGCCAGGCCCTCCACCAGCCACTCACCCATCATGTGCAACAGTACGTGCTCCTCCTGCTGAGCCTCGGGGACACCATTGGGGAGGTGGGTACCAAGGGCAGCAGCATGTGGGGAAGCCGAGGGAAGGGAGGGATAGAGCCCAGACTCAGGGGACTCAGCCTGTACTCAGGAACCCTAGTACAAGAAGGACTCAGCCATGCCAGGGGATGGGAGAGAGTTGAGGGAGTTACAGTCCTGTCCTGGGGTTTCCAGGGGACATGGGGGACATGGTCCAGCCCTGAGGAGGGGGTCCAAAGACATGGTTCTGCCCGAGGGAATCTTAGTGGGTGACAGCACTGCCCTTCCTTGCGGTGTCTGAGGCACGTGGCCCTGCCCTGGTAGAGCCAGCAGAGACCCAGAGAGCAGGGGTAGAATCATGTCTTGGGAGTGAGGATACGTGGGCCCAGGGCCGAGCTGGGGAAGCACCTTCGTATTCTACCCACTGCTCCACCAGCAGAAGAGGAGCTGTCAGGGAGAAAAGGGCAAAGTCTGGCCTAGATTCAGGCCTTTCGACCAGCCGGGACCAGGACTGGGCTAGGGAAGATTCCAATAAGCTCCCCGCTCACTGGCTGCCCTGTCCCCCTTCAGCATCACCCAACCCAGGAGCTGGTGGTGAACGCAGTCACCCTCTTTGGGAACCTGCAGTCCTTCATGAAGCAGGCTTTGGACCAGGCTGCAGCCACGCAGGCTCTCTGGCACACCCTGAGAGGCCGGCCAAGGGTGAGTTGGGGGCCTGAGGGGTAGTTAGGGAGGGGGGTCCTTTTTGGGCATGGAGCTGTTGGGGGCCTCGAGCTGCTTGCTGTATTCTCTGGGTCTCAGTTTCCCCATATGGAAGGGGGAGTGATGGCTGAAGCAGGAGGCCATAAAGTCCCTCTGTCCAGCCATTCTTATCTGTCTGCTGAGCATGTCCTGGGCCAGGCCCTGACCTGGACTAGGGAAGAGGCAATCAGCAGATTGCCTCTCGCCTGGGGATGTCACCGATCACACCCTTGCGTCGCTGCTCAACACAGCATGAATTGCCCCTGCAGGGAGGAGAGTCCCCTGGGCCCTGAGGCTTGGACCTGGTGTGGAGAATTAGGAGACTAGGTGGAGGAAGGAGAATTGCGGAAGGGAGGCAGGGGTGGCTGAGTACTGGGAGAGGACTGATAGGGCAATGTCTGGGGCCATGGCACAGGGGTGTGGGAGGGGACACTGAAGTTTCAAGAGAGCCAGGAATGTATCATCAGTGCATTTCTGTCCACCACTGACCCAGTGCATTTCTGTCCATCACTCCAGGTCTCCTGGAGGGGGTCTGTTGGGGGTGCCTGGGTACAAGGGGAGGTGGCAGAGTGGCTGCCAGTTTGCAGGAAGAGGTGCCTAAGCCTTGTACTGTCCTCTTTGCCCCACCAGGATGTGCTCTGCACCCCTGCTCACAGACTCCTTCAGGACAGCCAGGACGTCCCCGTGACGGTCGCACCGCTGCGGGCTGAGCGTGTGCTGCTCTTTGATGATGCCCTCGTCCTGCTGCAGGTTGGGGTGGGGCTGACCCGAGGTCTTAGGACCACAGTAGGGTTCTGGGGTCTGGTCGGAAAAGGAGCAGGAAAGGGGCACGCTGCTGGGACTGAGAATGTGGGCTTGGAGGGATAGTCAGGGACAGAAAGGCATTGTGTTGGGGATTGGCGGTCCACTGGAGCTGTCCCCAGAGGAGCATGGGCTGAATGGAAATTCGGTCCAAGGTTTGTCCTGGCTTCAGCCCTTCCCAGCTGGTGTCCTTGGTTACATGTCTTCACCTTCGTTTTCCCATCTGGAATGTGGGGGTCATTATTAGTGAGTTTGTTCTACAGTAGACCCAGACAACTCTTAGTTCCCATTGTACTCAAATGAGAGAGTAACCCCAGACAGGAAGTCATGGGTGACTGAGGGGTGACTAAGGAGGGCTGGATGAAAAGGCTTCTAGAAAAAAGTACCCCATAGGAGCAGTGCCTGGGCTTTCAGCATTGTGGAAGTCAGGAGGGAGCCAGGCCTGGGGCTGGGAATTGTTACATGGCCAGTCACCAACTCTGGCTCATCCCCCCAAAATCATGTTGTCCTGGTGAGGTCCACAGCACTGCCTTCTCTGCCCCTTAGAAGGTTGGCCTGGAGCCCCCTCGCAGACAGGTGGCGGGGGCCCGGCGGGAAGCTGCTGCCCAGCTTAGACCTGTGTCCCCTGAAGCCTGATTTTGGGGTTAGTTCTGGTTTAGTATGAATTCCCCTCCACTCCCAACTTCATACTCTGCTCCAGTACATTGATGAGCTACTGCACCTTCCCTGTGCTAGCCCTCTCCCACCGCTGGACCTTTGAACATGCTGTTGAGTTTGGTGGGCCATCTCTTGTCCATGGCCTGCGGCTGGCAAGCTCCTCCTCACCCCTCAGGCCTGGGCCTCCCACCTCCTCCCTGTCCTGGTATGGAGCAGTGATTGGGCTGACTGGGCCGGGCAGGAAGTTGCTACACAAAATCTTCCCATAGGAAGGGGCTTTTTTTCTAGCTCTCAGATCAGGATGGCATTCCGGGTAGAAGGAACAGCAGGAGCAAAGGTTCACAGTGAGGAGAGGTTGGGGCAAGCTCGTGAAGGCGTGATTGCGGAGTGGCCGTGGCGGCGTGGTGGTCTGTGAGGTCTCAGATGTTAGGCTCAGCAGTGTCTCAACCCCCAGGTAGTAGGAGCCGTAGAGAGGTTTCCAGCAGGGGTTGACCAGTTCCCAGCTTCATTTCCAGACCACTCTGGTGGCCACAGGGGGCTAGAGGCTGGGTCTGAGTTACCGGCCAAGCCCTGGGGTAGAAGGGACATGGAGCAGCTGTCCCTGAGGTGGGGAGCAAGCCAGGGGGGAGAGGGACTCAGTACTGGACGTGCTGGGCAGAATAGCCTCAGTGGCCATGCTGGGTTGAGCTTGGGGCAAGCCTGGGCCAGAGGGTGGGTAAGCATCTGGCCTGGGCTCCGAATGACGCCTGTGTCCGTCCTCTTCCAGGGCCACAACGTCCACACCTTTGATCTGAAGCTGGTGTGGGTGGATCCTGAGCAGGACGGGTGAGCGACCCCCTTGGCTGACACCCCAGACCTTCCCTTTACCCCCATGACACCTGCCCACACCCTGGTACTCTGGCTTGGGCCCCTCCACCCTTCTGGACAGAGCTGGGGCCTACTCGTCACCTCCATCTGTCTAGGTGCACATTTCACCTCCTCACGCCTGAAGAAGAGTTCTCCTTTTGTGCCAAGGACTCCCAGGGCCAGGTGAGTGTGGGTGAGCTGTGAACTGCGGGAGTGGGGTCAGAGGACAGGGTGGGGAGAGGGCAGAAGTGTGCAACCCTGCAGGGCCCCACAGGAGTGCCGGGGAGTGTCTGGCAGGCCCCTGGGGACCTGGTCAGTGGAAATCGGAGTCAGGCATTAGAATGCCAAAAAGAACAGGGTATTTTTCTTTCTAAAGACAGAATTGGGTCCTGTGTTGATCCCTGCCCTGAGGTCTTGTTTATCCTCTGGGCAGGCCCTGCAACTGCAGAGGAGGATCTCAGGCTGGGTGGGGGCCCCAGAGGGCAGCAGGGAGCAGTTGAAGGGCCCCCCAGGTGACAAAACGGCGTGGGGGTGGAGGGTGGAAGGGTGGTACCTGGAGCTACCCCAGAAGGCTTCTTGGAGGGAAAGCCTCCAGCAGCAGTGATCCCTTCCCCGTGTTCCCCCTCCCACCAGGCAGTCTGGCAGTGGAAGGTGACCCAGGCCGTTCGCCAGGTCCTGCGTGGGAAGAAGGACTTCCCCGTGCTGGGGGCTGGCCTGGAGCCCTCCCAGCCTCCCGCCTGCCGCTGCGCGGAATATACCTTCCGCGCAGAGGGCCGGCTTTGCCAGGCCACCTATGAGGGCGAGTGGTGCAGGGCCCGGCCCCACGGCAAGTGAGTGGCTGGAGCTCTGGGTGGGAAGGTGGGGCTCTGTGGGGGCGGGGGCAGAGAGCAGCACACAAACCTAACTGTCTCAGGACATGCACCAGGAGCAGTTACTCTCTGTGAACAGTCAATTCTCAGACTGCCTTGTAAGTCCTCTCGGACTAGGCCTGGCCCAGAGACGGTCTGTGCCAAATAAAGTCTTGATGGTGACACTAGAGGACAAGGGGCAGCAACCATGCCCTGGCCTTAGAGCCTACAGGTGCCATTCCATTCTTAGGAGGATGGGAGAATAATTCTCACATCCGTACTGCATTGTCTGGTGGTGGTGAAATGGCTTGCACACATTCTATCGCCGTCGGTCCTCATAAAGACGCTCTGTAAGGAGTGCTTTTACCCATTTCATAGGTACAGACACTGAGGCCCAGTGATGGGCATGACTTGCCCAAGGTCTCAGGGCAAATGATGGGGTGAGTCGGCCTCAATCACAGGTCTGTGTGACCCCATAGACAGGCAAGCCTTTACAGAGCATGTGGCCCCACCCCATGTCACAGTTGGGAAAACAGACCCAGAGAGCAGAAGGGACTCACAAGGCTACACTCTCAAGCACCTCTGCTAGTTTCTAATACCCTGCCTCCTTTCAGAAAGGGCTTGAGAAGACTTATAAACAGAGGGACAGAAAAAACACAGAAGTGGGGAGAAGGATGGTAGAAACCCCACTGACTAGCATTAAACTTGAGCTTGATGCTTAGCTCTGAGCTTCCTGTTGGTCAAGGGAAAAAGGGAACCTAGATGTCTCCAGGGCTTTCCCTATGGGATGTGGTGAGTGTGCCCCATGAGGCTGCTGGTACAGTTGGGCCAGGAGTAGAAAAGGGCTAAAGGGGCTTTCTGCAGGGGATGTTTGGAGCTCAGACAAGAGGGCTGGGTTGGTGCAGAGAGCCCAGTCCAAGGGAAGAGAAAGGGAGGGTGTCTGAGAAAGTAGGTGGCTGAGGTTGCTGAGGGATGGGTGGGCCTGAGGCTCGTGAACCTCCACTGTGTTCCAGGGGAACCCTGAAATGGCCGGATGGGCGGAATCACGTGGGGAATTTCTGCCAGGGCCTGGAGCATGGGTAAGGCTGGCTGGGGCTGCTGCGGGAGGCTTGTGGTGGGTGGGGAGTGCTTTCCTCCCCTGCTCCCGCTGTGGTCGCCAGCCCGGCCCCTTCCTGAATTCCCAAACCTCAAGCAGGAACTTAGAGACAATCTGGTCCGGCCTGCCTCACTGTACAAAAGGGGAACCGAGGGCCTGAATAGGGGTCCCATCTGAGCTTGAGGTCATGGAGGGAGTGGTACAGGCCAAAAGGTGCTCTATGGTGCCCGGGGACAGGCTGAAGGGAGGGGTCCTGAGAGGGGCCCTTTGAAGAATGGGAAGACTGAGGGCCTCTGAGTCTCCCTATTGTCTGCAAGGCTCCTTGGGGGCCGGGATACTCCTGGGTGGCATGGAGTAGGCGTGATGGGCGTCTCAGGTCAGGGCTGATCCCCATCCCCACAACCATGCTGTCAGCTTCGGCATCCGCCTGCTGCCCCAGGCCTCTGAGGACAGGTTCGACTGTTACAAGTGCCACTGGCGAGAAGGCAGCATGTGCGGCTACGGCATCTGTGAGTAAGTGACCCTGGCTGGGGGCTCGTGGGATGGGCCCATCCTCTGGGCCGAGCTCCATGAGGCAGAGTTCGCTGTTGATGGCCCTCCCCAGGTACAGCACCGATGAGGTGTACAAGGGCTACTTCCATGAGGGCCTGCGGCACGGATTTGGGGTCCTTGAGAGTGGTCCACAGGCCCCCCAGCCCTTCAGGTACACAGGCCACTGGGAGAGGGGCCAGAGGAGCGGCTATGGCATCGAGGAGGATAGTGACAGGTGAGCGCCCTGCAGCCCCCACTCGCAGGGCGGAGGGATGGACAGGGCCCTCACAGACCAGATTGTTGCAGGACACAGGCTCCTGTTTGTCCTTGGCTATGTCTCTCTTAAGCCCCTCACTTCCCCTCCAGTCCCTCGGTTGCCACAGAGGCTCAGGCTGAGGGAATCCTGGTCACGCTGACTGCAGGGTCACCCCGCCCCTCACCCCTCCTCATGGTGTTGGAGAGGCATTTCTGACCCCCTGCTCTGTCACGTCTAAAAACTGCAGCCCTTGCTGGCTCTCTGGGCTATGTGATAAAGCCCTGGATCCTTGGCCTGGCAATCACGGCCTCACCTGCTTCTCTAACCTCACCCCAGCTGCGTCTCCTATGCACCCCTCTAGCCTTTCTGGACCACTGAAGTCCCCACGTATCCATCACATGCTCCTACCTCCATGGCTCTGCATACACTCCTATTCCACCTGTCCTTCCTGCCGCCTCCACAGAGAAGCCTCCCAGATGCCCTTCCCAGGCTGCCTGCCTCCCTCCTCTACCCTCTGTTCCTCTTGGGGGTCCTGACCCCTCTGGCCTCGTGTCTGTTGAGTGGATTCAGGTGACGTCACTGCCCCTTATCTGCACTCCCTGCCGCCCCGTGCCAGGAGAGTGCCCAGGAGGTGCATAGGGATGAGTCTGATCCAACTCTGGCCACATTCCTCTCCCTGCAGAGGCGAGCGCTACATCGGCATGTGGCAGGCTGGTCAGCGCCATGGCCCAGGGGTCGTGGTCACCCAGGCAGGTGTCTGCTACCAGGGCACCTTCCAGGCGGACAAGACGGTGGTGAGCAGAGTGTGTCCTGGGCTACCCCTCTCTTTGCACCCCAATCCCACTGGGGGCCCTGAGGCTGAGCTGAGGCTTTTCAGGGGGATGGGAAAGGGGTCTGTGTTCCTGTGTGCTGGAGGGAGCCAGAACCTGGGCAGGAAGCCAGCTCTACCACCCACCTCCCCTGGCCCTGGCCAGTCCCTGCTGTGCCTGACCTTGGTTTCCCCATCAGCAACTCAGGTTAAGAATACTTACCATACACTCAATGAACTAGCAAGAATCGAGTGCTTACTCGTGATGATGTATTAGCTGACATTCATAGATTCCTAACTTGATGCCTGGCTCTGGGCTAAGCTCACACCCTGATCCTGTGGGATCCTCCCAAGAGCCCTGCAGGTTGATGTCGTTATTGTCCCCAGTGTGTCCCTAGTGAATGACAAATGAGAGGCTCAGGGGGATCAGAGGACCTCCTCTGTGTCACCTTCACTGAGTGGCAGAGCTGACACTCACACCCTGGTCTGCTGAGCCTCGCCGCCGAGCCTGGGACTCCCACGTTTGCCTCACCCGTACCCTTCCAGGTGCTTGGGGAATGTGGGGCTCTGGCTGATGGCTGCTCTTGTTATTACGGTCTGTTGGTTTGTTTATGCTCTACTTCATTCTCGAAAGGATTGAAGGAGGCCTTCGAGGAAAGAGGAAGAAAAGGGAAGAATAAGTACGCAAAATAGATTTGGAAATAAGCTGAACACTAATTGTATCTCTTTCGGCTCTGAGCTTCCTAGCAGCCCATGGGGCAAGGGAGCCTGGTCAGCTCTGCCATTCCCAGGGCCGGTGACAAGCAGGGAAGCAGGAATGTTTCAGAGAAAGCCCCACATTTCTTGAGCTCCCAAGGGCTTCCTGAAGAAGCCACTGGGGTGAGGAACCAGGGTAGAGGGTGTCATTTGGGGAAATACACGGATGGGGTCCATGGGGCTGGTGCTCAGCAGGCCAAAGGCTAGAGTCCTAATTAGGTACAGTCCTGTGGGGCATGATGAGGCTCAGGGCCCCTCTCCCCATGTGTCAGGGCACACCTCCCTTCTTTTGCCATCTGTCTCCACCCTGAGTTTCCTGGCCCTTCCTCACCCACCGTTTCTACCCTCCCTGGCTTCCTCTCCCCAAGGGTCCAGGCATCCTCCTCTCTGAAGACGACTCCCTGTATGAGGGCACCTTCACCAGGGACCTGACCCTCATGGGGAAGGTGAGGACCACCGAGGCCCCGCTCCACACCCTGCTGAGGCCTTGGCTGGGATCTGTAATCTCCCCACTCGGACTTAGGGCTGGGGGTACAGGCAGATGGGGGAGCAGGCAGGGGAAGGCCTGTCACACCTCTCTGAGAGCCAAGGGGTGAGCACAGTGACTGCACCCTGCCACAGAGTTGCGATTGATTCTGGAGTGAGGTGAGAGGGGACCAGTGGCCTTGCCTGCTATCCAGAGGGTACTGGCTGTGTCCTCCTGTACCCTCCTAGTTCAGAATACATGCCCTCCACCAGCACCAGTGACTGGAGCAGCTGTCCCTGGAGGCACTGGCCTTCATTGTGTGCCTCCCTGAGCTGACCCAGGAGAAGGCAATGTGTCCCCGCTGGGGCCTTTGGAAATGTAGGGGTCGTTTTGGTTTCATAATGACTGGAGCAAAGGGGTGGAGATCAGGTTGCTATGAATGGCACAGCCCCATGCGGTGAGACACCTCCCTCCTCAGGCGTTGCCTATCCCTGGGCTTACTCCCACCCCAGCCCCTCAGTGGTGGTCTCCCCATTCTTGCCTGTGAGTCCCTTCTCCATCCCTCTCCTCTTCCTACCTCAGAGGCGAGCGAACCCCTGAGACGTGGGCACAGCTGTTGGTGTGGGGACTCTGGCAGGCGTAGAGGATTGTGAACCCCTCAGTGTGGGGCAGCTTGAATGGATGGCGGGAAGCCCACTCATCAGTCTTTAGCCTCTCCGACACTGATGGACAGGCATGCGGCCTGTCACGATTGACTGGAAGGGTAACTAGGCAGACAGACATCCCTGCTCCTTCTCCTGACTCCCAGGGCAAGGTCACCTTCCCCAATGGCTTCACCTTGGAGGGCTCGTTTGGCAGTGGGGCAGGGAGAGGACTGCACACACAGGGTGTGCTGGACACAGCTGCCCTCCCACCGGACCCGAGCAACACCTGCAAGAGGTGAGTGCCTGGCCCCCGTGGCTCTGGGCCTGTCTGGGGATATGTCTGTGTTTCTACCCTAAGGACTCACGTCTCATCAGAGGGGCCTTTTTGCACCCCCCTCTTAGCACTCTAGAGAGTCCAGAGACCGCAGGGTGTACAACTCCAGTCAGAGACTCTTGGAATCAGGGGCTGTGTGGATATAATGCTGTACACCACAAAACTGTAGGAAAAATATTATTTGTAGGCTTTGCTTAGGTCCTGCTTTTTTTTTTTTTTTGTCTCAAAAGAATACAATACGGTTTACAAACCAAACATACAGGAAAAAAAATATAGAAAATAAGAGCATGTGTTAACCTTAAAAGAAAGGGATAGGCAGACATGTCCTAGAGCATTTACAACTGATCATTAAGCCTGTCTCTGAGTTTCCTGGCAGCCAAGGTAAAGAAGGAAACTTGCTAAGTGGAATCACAGTCATTATCAAGGAGTAATTGAGAGGAGGATAGATTTCTTTTCCTCTAGGGACAGAGTTCCTTCTTGGAAAACGGTTGCTGTTGTTGCGTCTATTGAGGAAGACTCAGTATTGCACAGAGGAAGGAATCTGTGTGGGTGGCAGTTCTAATGAGAAGTGGTCCCAGGCAGCATTTCAGATGTAGGGAGGGAGTATAGTTGACTACTTGGCCCGCTGTCCCTGCATGCTGCTTCTCCCTGACAGCAGGAGCTGGGAGTGGACAGCAATCCCTAGGGGCAGGCCCCAGCCCAGGTGTGGGTGTGGGCTGCGTGTAGCCTACAAGCATGACACTGGAGTGCAGGGCTCCATTAGACACATGCAGCCAGGCCCCAGCCTGTTGGTCAAGGTGGGATCAACGGTAGGAAGGAACTGGCTGTAATGGAGGGCAGAGAGGGATGTCTTGGAGGGGAATTCCAGACTTTGGGCACTGGTCTCTCTTGAGCCAAGACCCACTCTCTGGCTTGGCCTTCAGATCTGCGCACCTTTCTGTCTCCATCTTTCCAGGATTCCATATGCTTCTGTGTCTCTTCTGGTCGCAGGGTAGATTCTCTCTGTCCCTTTCTCTGCTGCTCTTCCTCCTGGAGCTGTGGAGGTCAGCCCCCTCTGCATGGTTCAATCCATCCACCCTTCCTGGGGCTTGATCCTGGGCCAGGCTGGTACCCCACCCCTCCAAGGGCCTGCACAGAGTCCTGCCTACCTCCGCTCCATCTCTCCCTGCCCCATCACCCACCCTCCATCCCCATCACAGGCAGCTGGGCGTGGGTGCCTTCCCTGTGGAAAGCCGCTGGCAGGGAGTCTACAGGCCCTTCCGGGACTTTGTGTGTGCTGGCTGCCCCAGGGACCTGCAGGAGGCCCTGCTGGGCTTTGACGTGCAGAGCTCCAGGGAGCTGCGCAGGTCTCAGGATTACCTGTGCTGCGAGAGGTGAGGCTGAGCTGCGTGCCCATGCACAGATCAGGGTGGGCTGGGGAGGCTTCCTGCAGGGAGGGAGCTGGGCGCAAGTATGGGTAAGGGACGCTGTGTGTGGTGCCCAGGACCCACCCCGAGGACAGTGTGGGCAGTATGGAAGACATCCTGGAGGAGCTGCTACAGCACCGGGAACCCAAGGCCCTGCAGCCGTACCTCAGGAAGGTGAGAACCCTGCCAGGGTGGCCAAGGGGGTGACATTCTCACTGCCCCTGGTGGGGAAGGGCTCCGATTTTTCATAGCAGGGTGCTGACTGAAGGGGACAGGCCTATGGGTCCCTTGTCCTCAGAGGGCCTCGGTGTTCCCATCTATGAGATAGGAGAAGTGTCGGGAGGCTGGTGTGGGCATGCTGTGCTCCAGACCCTGGCACTTAGTCTCTCGCCATTGTCTACGCACTGGCCCAGGCTCTGAGCAACTCACTGCACCCTCTGGGAAAGCTGCTCCGGACACTGATGCTAACCTTCCAGGCTACCTATGCGGGTGTCGGGGCCAACAAGCACCTGCAGGAGCTGGCCCAGGAGGAGGTGAAGCAGCATGCCCGCGAACTCTGGGCTGCCTACAGGTGAGCTCGGTGGCACATGGGACAGCCGCTGCCCTGTGACACCAGTCTGCCCTTTCCAGGCATCAGTTCTGCCTTGAATCTGGGAGGAATGCCAGGTATCTGATTCAACAACAAACCAGACCCTTGGTCAGTGTGCACCTGATGAGCAAAGGGGTTAGAGGGTGCAGCAAAGGCCTAGCTGCGGCCCTCAGCTAGAGTTCAAGTCCCAGCCAGGCCCTGGGCTGACTCTGACCCCGGGCCCTCTTACCCACTGTAGGCTGAGCTTGACCCTAGACTCGGAACACACCTGCAGTCCCAGGCTGGGCTGTGACCCCATGAAACACTGCAAATAGAAGCCTTAGATGCTACAGTTCCTTCTGCTGCTGGGGTTCCAGGCTTCTCAGGCTAACATCCTGGAGCTCCAACCTTCTAACTTCTGTGGTTTGAGAGGATGAACCCTACAGGCCGTGTCCACAGTTCTGAGACACTGCCTGCTCTTGCCTTTGTTGACTGGCAGTGGAGCTCCAGTTCTGTGGGAGGTGGCAGCCACACCATTTCCCTCTCCTTGGCTCACAGGGGTCTGCTTCGAGTTGCCTTACAGCGCAAGGGCCAGGCCCTGGAGGAAGATGAAGACACAGAGACAAGGTGACTGGCCCAGGCCTCCTTGAGGCCTGCCGAGTCCAGGGAGGCCTCATGCGTCTGCTCCTAGGACCTCCCTTGGGGAAAGAGGTGCTTCTGGGGAAGTGCTGGGCATTCACTCTATTGACCAAGCACTCTGCATTGATCGTTTGTGGATTAGAATGACCCATGACCTCTGTTCTGTGAGGAACCAGAGGGAGGGGGCACTGCTACAATACACTGAATGCATCTTTATTCTAAATGTATGATCCCAATCTCATCTTTCCCATGCAGAGAGTGAGTAGCTCCCTGAGGCACCCTCTTCTCCCTGCACACAGATGGGGAAACCAAGGGCTGGTAGGGATGAGTCTGAGGTTATATAGGAGTTAGGTGGGTCATTAAATCTGTCTCCCCCTATCCCTGGAGCAAACCTTACAATTTGCCTTTAGATTCCAGACCTGGAGATGTTCCTGATCAGAGAGGCCTTCCTGTCACTGCATTGCAGGAGGATGGAGATGGGGTTAGACATTAGGGAGAACTCCCCGCCTGGAGTCCTAGCACAGCAAACCAGGAGGTGGAACTGAAGCAGCCTGGAATGGCTGTTGAGAGCTTGGCTGCAAGTTGCTGGCCCATCTGGGGCCCTGGTTTTGCTTTCAGTCAAATGGGGATCAAACTCCTGTCCCACCTGCCGTCTTGGTTGTCAAAGTCAAAGGAGGGAATGAAGTTATGAATTGAATTGGGCAAATCATGACTGAGAACAGGCTTGGAAAAGGTTTTCTGGGGAGGAGAAGGCTGGAGGCTGGAGAGGAGGCTAGAGGCCGGGACACTGTTTGTTGTGGAACTAGGAGCTCTTTGAGAGGTGACTCCTAGTAGTAATCCTAGACCCCACCTTGCTCATCCCAACCTGTTCCGGTCTCCCCATCAGAGACCTCCAGGTACATGGATTGGTGCTGCCCCTCATGCTGCCCAGCTTCTACTCAGAGCTCTTCACGCTCTACCTGCTGCTTCATGAGCGGGAGGACAGCTTCTACAGCCAGGGCATCGCCAACCTGAGCCTCTTTCCTGATACCCAACTGCTCGAGTTCCTGGATGTGCAGAAGTAAGCCTTCCCTCCCCCTGTGCCGTGTTAGCCAGGACTCTGGCATAACAGATGACACAGACTCGACTCAGATTGTCTTCAACCTAAAGGTGGGGCTGGGGTTGATAGGTTCATGTACCCACCAAGTTCTAAGCTTATGCATTCAGCTGTGGCTGGATCTAGGTGTTCAACTGAACGACAGAGGGAAGCACCTTCCATTTCTCTCTGTTGGTCCTTCTCAGGCTGCGCCTTGTGGTGACAAACACCATAAGCACCAACCTCTCAAGGTTCATACCCTCCCAGCTCCACTCCCAGAGTCCCCACAGAGGAGCTGGCATTGCCTTCCAACAGCTTCCACAGAGCCCCTGAAGTCCCTTGCTGGCTCAGCTTGGGTCTTGAGCCCACCTCTGAATGACAGCCATGATTGACCAGGCCTGCCTGAATATCCACTGCTGAGGCTGGGGCAAGATCACCTGCTCTGAGCACTTGGGCTGAGAGTAGGGGAGAGGAGGTCCCTCAGGGGAAACCGAAGACTGCTCTGGGTGCAAGTCGGGAGGTGTTTACCACACCCCAGGGCCTCCCTTCCACCCTCAGTCTCCAAAATGTCCTTTCTCTTCAGTGTCCCATCTATCCATTGATGCCACAAGTGACCCCACTGTCCCCATTAGAGGGCACGGGCACTCTCTCTGCTCCCACATCCAGGTCTCCTTTGTTACACAGGGATGGTGCTTCCCACCCACCCTGCAAATCCCTGTTTCTTCCTCTATCTTGGTGACTGTGTCCTGCATCTGACCAGCCACCAGCCTAGAGACCTGGCTGCCAGTGCTTCCCAAGCGTGCCCCACCTCCCTCACCGCCTCAGTGTCGCTTCCCCACACCAGCCTCCAGCTCTGCCGTGTGAGGGCTGCATCCCCCTGCTCACGGCCCTGTGCTGGCTCAGCAGAGCCTCCTGGATGGAGTGCAGTCTCTTCAGCCCTCCCTCTCTGCTGGTCACCATGACCTGGCTCATACAAGCCTCTGGGCCACCCTTACCTCCCTGGAGCTTCTGGAGTGCTGCCTTCTCCAGGAATCCTTCCATCCTTCCCATGACCTGAACTGACCTGCTTCCCCTTTCTAGGACCCAGCTCTGCTGGGGGGGACACAGTGGCACAGGAAATTTGCCCTCTGACCTCACATTCTGCCCCTTGTCCAGGCAAAGCTTCCTGTCTCACTTTTTCAATTTCAGGCACCTGTGGCCCCTCAAGGACCTCACGCTGACGAGCAATCAGGTGAGAGGGAGGCCAGAATCCCAAGCCAGGGGCCCCCAGAGGTCCTGCAGGCTTTGAGGAGCCCTTTGCCTCATGATTGCTGGGCGGAGGCTGCAGAGGAGCTGGGGAGGGGCAGGGTGGGTTGGGAGGAAACACCGTCATTCTGACTTCCCAGTGTGGTGGAGGTAAGCTGTTGGCTTATAACCACCGGGCTCAAACATAGGTTTTTACCTGGCTGTGTGACCGTGTGCAAGAGGCTCGTGCACTGTGCCTCAGTTGCCTCATCAGTAAAAGGGAGCCAACACTAGAAGAACTTCCAAATTCTTAATTAATTAATTACTTTATTTATGTTTCGAGAAAAAGTCTCACTTTGTCGCCCAGGTTAGAATGCAGTGGTGTGATCTCGGCTCACTGCAACCTCCGCCTCCTGGGTTTAAGTGATTATCCTGCCTCAGCCTCCTGAGTAGCTGGGATTACAGGTGTCTGCCAGGTGCCCACTACCATGCCCAGCTAATTTTTATATTTTTAGTAGAAACAGAGTTTCATCATGTTGGTCAGGCTGGTCTCAAACTCCTGACCTCAGGTGATCTGCCTGCCTTGGCCTCCCAAAGTGTTGGTATTACAGGCATGAGCCACAGCACCTGACCTTTATTTATTTATCTTTTGAGATGGAGTCTTGCTCTGTTGTCCAGGCTGGAGTGCAGTGGCGTAATCTCGGCTCACTGCAACCTCTGCTTCCCAGGTGGAAGTGATTCTCCTGCCTCAGCCCCCCCGAGTAGCTGGGATTACAGACATGTGCCACCACGCCTGGCTAATTTTTATATTTTTGGTAGAGACAGGATTTCACCATGTTGGCCAGGCTTGTCTCAAACTCCTGACCTCAGGTGATCCGCCCGCCTCGGCCTCCCAAAGTGGTGGGATTACAGGCGTGAGCCACGGCACTTGGCCAGAACCCCGTCAAAATTGTTGTGAGGGTGAAGTGGGCACATGAGGCAGCTGTTTTCAAAATTTGTCTGCCAGGCTGGCAGCATCAGGATCATCTGGGAACCTGTTAGGAAAGCAGATTCTTGGACCTGCCTCAGACCTACCGAGTCAGAAGCGCAGGGAGTGGGTCCAGGAACCTGTGTTTCACCAAGCCCTTGGGTTTGAGAACCATCAACATAGGCACTCAGAACTGGGCGGCACCCAGCGGCCAGTGCCTGTTATGATTATTATCTTCTTATCCATTTAGATCCTCCCAACCTCCTGGAGACTATTCCCCCCCGTTTTATGGTTGCTCAAACTGAGGCCCATAGTGGAGCTGTGATCTGGCCTGGGTCACTCAGTCCTCAGGGTGGGGCTGCACTAAAGCTGGCAGTGAAGGGGAGGGTGGCAGGGGACTCAGGCCCGGCCCTGGGAAGGAGGGGATGTCAGAGCTGGGGGACCATGGCCTCATCCAGCCCACTCCCTCCACCATGCAGAGGTACTCCCTGGTCAGGGACAAGTGTTTCCTGTCAGCCACCGAGTGCCTGCAGAAGATCATGTGAGTGTGAGCCGTAGTGGGTTGGGGATCTGGAGGCAGAGTGTGGGGTGCTCCTGGTTGGGACTGAACCAAGGTCCTTGACCTGGAGCCAGCTACCCTGCTGCAGGACCACGGTGGACCCACGGGAGAAGCTGGAGGTGCTGGAGAGGACATACGGGGAAATTGAGGGCACGGTGTCGCGGGTGCTGGGCCGGGAGTACAAGCTGCCCATGGACGACCTGCTGCCGCTTCTCATCTATGTGGTGTCGCGCGCCCGGTGAAGCAGACAGGCTGGGAACTGGGGGTGCAGGGCAGGGGCAGGGTCCTACCCCCACCATGATATCCTCTGACACCTCTGAACCCCAGGGTTTATGGATGCAGCTTCTCTCAGTACAGATGGGGAAGCCAAGGCCCAGAAAAGGGAGGGTCCCAGGGTGCTGGGGTGCTAGAGGCAGAGTGAGAACCACACTCCAGGTGTCCAGCCATCCCGGCCAGGGCTCCTTCCCCAGCTGCCTGTCCATGACAGCCCTCTTCTTGTCGCCCTCAATCTCTTGGTGGGACGGTATTCTCCAGAATTCAGCACCTGGGAGCCGAGATCCACCTGATCCGTGACATGATGGACCCCAACCACACAGGAGGCCTGTATGACTTCCTGCTCACGGCCTTGGAGGTGAGGCACAGGGGCTGTGGGCCGAGGTGGAAATGCCCTGGGCCCTGGGGCAGACCCTTTTCCCTTCCCAGACATCATAGCACCATCGTGGGAGGGAGCTCAAATTCACAGCTCCTATGTGACTCTGGGAAGGGTCCTCACAGTGTCCCTGATCCTGATCTTATTAAAGGAGCCAGGGATGGGTCCCACAGTGCATCCCAGCCCTGGGGACCCTGTGGCCATGATTGCTCCAGGCTGTGTTCCCAAGCACAGTGGGAGAGGAAGGGCCCCATTTTCCTCACAGACCGTGGCTGAGGGCTGAGTTGGAGACACGCCTCCTCTGGGTTGGGAGGTGGGTGCACACAGCTATTGGGCCCTAGATCCTGTGCATGTGGTTGGGATCAGGCAGGTCAGCTGGCCCCATCCTTGCCTCTCTCCCGCCAGTCCTGTTACGAGCACATCCAGAAAGAAGACATGAGGCTGCACCGCTTACCTGGCCACTGGCACTCCAGGGAGCTCTGGTAGCTTGGCCTTTCCTGGACAGACTGCAGAGCTGAGCAGGGCATTGCTGGCCTGTCCCTCATTACCCAAGGCAAAGGGCAGGACAGACCCTTGGAAGCAGCTCTTTTGTTTTGCTTTTTGTTTTGCACAGGAAGATGCTGCTGCTGCCCTGATTGGGATGAGGGTGAGGGGTGACGGGTGTGGCCCTGGACGTGGTGGTTTTCCCTTGGCCACTAGCCCATCTCCAATGACCCCTTAATCTGCAGCAGCTCACAGGCTGGGGGTGAGGAGCTCCTGACTTCTCTTAGCCTGAGCCTTTCTCCCAAGTTGCAGAGCCTCTCTGGGCCTCAGTGCTGCCATCTGTAAATGGTGGAGTGAGTACGCTGTAAAGGACCTTCCATCCATTTTGCTGAATTCCAGAGTCCTTTCGGAAGACTGACTTCAGTCTGCTGGGCTGTCCTGACCTCTGGCAGGCTCTAAGCCTCGCTGGGTATGCAGTCAATAGGGTGGGCCTGGAGGTCCGTGAACTGCAGGCCGTGTACCCATGACATAAACGGTGGCACTGGAGCAAGCTGGGGCAGGGGGTGGGCAAACCCTCACTGCCAGCACACCCCAAGTGGCCTGTGAATCATTCACCTGTGACCTCTGTGGGCCTGCGGGGGGACAGCAGGAGCACATGACATCTGCCTGGGCCCTGACCAATAAACCCTCAGACCCTGCTGTGGTTGGGGAGCAGGGGTACCTTTGGGAGGGGAGGACTTTATTTAAACAGCGGTTCTAGTGTGGGAACAAGAGAGGCAGCAGCTGGATCTTGGGGCACCTTCATTCCTGTTGGGCCTCAGTTTCTCTTCCCCACATTGAGGGACTTGTGCCGGGTGACATGCAGGGTCTCCCTCTGCCCTAACAGGATGTGCATGATGACAGGCAGTGTGATGTGTTCTGAAAGGGTCCACGGCAAAGCACAGGGAGAGGGTGGATTTGTGTAGGGTGCAGCTCTGGAGAAGAAGCTGGATCACTCCTGGTCCCACTCTCTAGGCCCTGAGCAAGTCAGGCTCCTGGCTCTGGTTGTGGCTCCCCCAGATGAAGTACTGACCTCAGCCTATGAGGGGAGGGTTGAGGGAGGCTCTGGAAAGTCCAGCCACACCTGAGTCCCCAACAGTAGCCTTGGGGCAGAGGGCACCCACAGAATCCCAGAGATGATGTGAGAAGTGGGCAGAGAGAGCCTGGTGCCTCTGTTTGCCACCACCTCCCCAGGAAGGAGGGAGAGCCTTTCTCTGGCTGATTCCACTAAATGTGCCAGCCCAAATGCAGGGCACGGGCTCTGGTTCTGCCAGGAGCCTGCAGCACCCCCAGGAAGGGGATGGAACTGCAGAAGAGCGAGGACATACAGGGTGCACAGGCACTCATGCTTACTGGGACTGGGCAGCTCACTAGGATTCTATCCTTTCCAACCGGCATCAGCCAGCTCTTGTCCCCTGACAAGTGAGGACAGCCTGACCCTGCCCTCAAATGCAGCCCGCCCTGAGTTCACGCGATGCTGATGGAACCCCAGCGTACTTCCCTGCCTCCTTTGAGATTTGTGAGCCCTTGCTGCAGTTCAGATTCAACAAGGCCCTCTGCCCACCCTCTCACTAGGCCTCACCCAACACCGGTGGAACTGGAGCCTCTGGCTGGGCACAGTGGCTCACTTTGGGAGGCTGAGGCAGGAAGATTGCTGGAACCTGAGAGTTCAAGACCAGCCTGGGCAATATAGTGAGACCCTGTCCTACAAAAATAAAATAAAATAATTAGCTGGGTGTGTTGGTGTGTGCCTGTGGTCCCAGCTACTCGGTAGGCTGAGGTGGGAAGATCCCTGAGCCTGGAAGGTCGAAGTTGCAGTGAGCCGAGATCACACCACTGCACTCAATCCTGGGTGACAAAATGAGACCCTGCCTCAAAAATAAAAATAAAATTAAATAAATAAATAAATAAATAAATAAATAAATAAGAGCCTCTGGACAGAGCCTTGGGGGCTGAAGTGTTTTAAAAGGGTCCTGGAAGAGTCCAAGGGCAGACAGGGCTCTATCAGACCCTTACAACAAAACTCACAGAGCAGGCAGGCAGGAGTCCTTCCTGTAGGTGAGCCTGACTACTGCAGTGAGTGCTTCATGTACAGAAGACCCGCCCAGTCCATACTCCAGGGGTGACTTCTCCCAGCTGCTGCAAGAGCACCTGGCTGCCCAGAGAGCACGTTGGTGCCCAGTCTCTGGATGGTAGGGTTGGCCAGCAAGGACCCTAGCACCTCAGTGATCTCACTGATGTTCAGAGCAGCCGGGCAGGGCCCAGCTCTGGTCCCTCCACCATTCCAGTTCCCACCTCCTTCCCAGGATGAGGAGTCTCTCTTGAGTCATGATCTTGAGGAAGTGTAAGATTCTTCCTAATCAATCCCAAATGGCACTTCACAGTCACCTGGGACAGGGTGGAGCGAGGCCCAGGGAGACACGACACTTCACAATCACCAGGGACAGGGTGGGGAGACGCCCGGGGAGACACAGCCCATTCACGGACTCAGGCAGTTTCCTCCCCTGTAAGGGCTGAGTCCCAGGCTACAGTGGAACTCAAACACACCGGCCCTGCCCTCGGGGGCCAGGATGTGGGGCTGAGAATGTCAGATACCCAAGGGGCCAAAGGGCCTTTCGGTGAACAGATGTGTCCAGGTTGCAGAGCCGAACCACCTGCTTATCCTAGATAGCAGCACTGGCCCTGGACACCCGCCCCACCCCCACCTGCATCCGGGGCCCTCATGCAGTCAATCATGCAACCTCTAGCCCTGCTTCTCCCAGGCCCACTACTCCCTTCACCAGTCAGCCCCATCCGCTGCCCCGTCCTGCCCTGCCCTCCTGCTCCTGCCCTGCCCTCTTGCTCCTGCCCCTCTCACTCATCTTTCTTCCCGCAGAAATGCCCTTCTCCAGTCCCACTGGGTCCCAGGCGGATCCATCCTTGCAGGCCTAGCTCATATGAAGCCCCCGTTCCCCTAGGAAGAAGCCTGCTCTCTTCACAGCCCCTTTCCAGACACAGGCCTATGTTTCATGGCTTTGGCGGGGGCTGTCTTGCCTCCAAAGTCAACAGTCCTCAGTGGTGTCTGCTTCCCATCCATTCCCCGGGCAGAGTGCAGGCCGCCTTGCCAGGGGCCTGTGCTCCACAGCAGTTGGGGACGAGGACAGAACACAGGTCGACACGGGAGGGGTTGGACTCTGAAGGGCCTGACTCCCAGAGAAGGTCAGCATCTCAGACTGGCTGGAGAAGCATCTGTGCAAACAACCCCTCTGGTGTGTCCAGGATGGATGGGCCCCAGGGAAATGGAGCCCCAGGCAAACTCAGGCCAGGAGTAGACAGCAAGTTGATGCCGATGCCTCAGGAGAAGGGGAAGAAAAGATGGACACCCTCTGTGCCTCACTCCATAGTCACACAGGGCACCAGAGGCTCAGGCCTGGCCCTCCTGGGGCCATGTGCCCACACCAGGCAGCTATGATGCCAGTGTGGCAGGACACTTCCAGGCACTGCCCTGCTGCTTGGTGTGTAGCTCCAGCTGAAGGAAGGCCACGGAGTGGCCAGGCCATAGCCAGTGACCCAGATGTGGTGGTTGATGGAGAGGGTGTCCTGAAAGGGACCAGGGCACAGCATGGCCCCATGAAGTCCTCTGAAGGGACTGCTGACTTCTTTGTCAGCGAGCCTCCCCAGGGGCCTCCTGCGTAGCAGCCCTGTTCCCTGTCTGGAGTATGGTCTGGAACAGCTACCCCACAGTGGGAACTGGCAGGCATCCAAGGGACCCAAGTGCTGACCAAGCCTCTGTTTATTCACACCATCCCCGAGGATGCTGGAGCCAGTGCGTGATCAGGGTGCTCACTGTGCATGCCCCTTGCCTGCTGCAGCACCAGAGAAAGCTGGAGGGATGCTGAGGCCAGAGGGGTGACCAGGGGCTGCTGGAGAAGCACTTAGTGTCACTGTGTGAGTGAAGCAGGTGCTCACTAGTAGGGCCCTAAGGAGGGCCCCAGGACCTCAGTTGTCACTCTCCCAGAGGGATGGCTGACCACTGAGGCCCAGCAAGGGACAGGGGCTGCCCTCTTATGGGCACCTGGGAAAGGATAAGGTGAGGGTCTGGGTTAAAGTCAGTGTGAGGGATAGAATTAGGGATTAGGGTTGAAGTCAGGTCAGTGTCAAGTTAGATTTACGGACTGGAGTGAGAGTGAGCGTCAAGGTCAAGCTCAGATCGGGTCAGGGCTTTTCTGGTTGGCTTTGTCAAGGGTTGCACAGACACGTACTCTGGCGTTTACTCTTGCTGCGGGCGAGAACCTGGGATGGGGTCCTGGCTGTCAGGTCTTGGTCTCTCTGGGACCTTGGCCAAGTCCTTTCGTAACTGGGTCCTATTTGTTGTCTGTAAATGAAGGAGCTGTCCAGACACCCCTGTTCTGCCATCAGGAGTCCCCTCTGCTTCGAAGGGCAGGTAAGAGATGCAGCTTGGGCTCTGGATGCGTTGAAGAGGGCCCACGTGCGGGCTAAGCACTTCACGGACTTTATCTCAACTCCCTGGTGACCAAAGCCCCAGGAATCACAACCCAGGAAACCTAGGCCCTCAGGGGCAAGCAGAAGCACACACTCTGTCCCCAGTAAACAGGGGCTGAGTAGCTATGGGGGACTGGACCCGCACGGCCTCACGCCAGAGCCCAGGTGCCAGCCAGGTGACTGCACGACTCCAGCACTCCCAGGTGCAGAACTGGAGCCCAGATGTTTGACCACCTGTCCCTGTTCCCTGCCCTGGAAGAAACTGCTTCGAGACAGGCAAGTCTCTCCCAAAGTGATCTTCACATATACCCCCTGGCTGAGGCCTGGCCCCTCGCATCCAAAAGTATTTGGAAAGAGGTGGAAGTGAAGGGGTGCGGTCCAGTCATCAGGGTCAGGTGGAGGGTGATAGGTCCAGTGGCCCATTAAATTCAGAGCAGTAGCTCTGATCTGTGAAAAGCACACAAGAGAGTGTTTGGTTTGTTTGTTTGTTTATTTGTTTTGGCAGTAGGATACCAGCAATAATGAGATGAGGCTAAGGGAGGCCTCATCAGTGTCTGGAAAACTAATCATGTTTCATTGCTTTGGCAGGGGCTGTCTTGCCTCCAAAGTCAACAGTCCTCAGCTGAGGCTCTCTTGAGAGAATGGGTATCCAGGAGTTAGACTGAAGGCAACGGTAATGGTCTGGGACAAGGTGACCACAGCATTCTGAGACGACAGGTGGGCCAGGTGTCCCGCAGGCAAGAGCCAAAAGACGCTAATGGTCTGGCCTCTCTCTGCCTCCGGGAGCCTAAGGTGTTCCTTCTCCTGCAGCGGAGCTACTCCCCTTTTCGAAATCCTCACTATTCCTAACCCACACTGTCCAGCTGGGTTCTTCTGGAGGTGATTACCATGTATCATCCCAGACGTGTGGACTGCGCCAGCAGCACCATCTTAGGAGTGATCCCTCCTGAGATAATGATCATGATCATTATCATCAATATCCACAACTGCCCAGTGCTCGCACGCTGAGCCAGGAGCTAAGAGTGACCGGATTAGCATCTCCCACACCAACCCCCGCCTTGGTCAGTAGCCCGGGTTCCTCCATGCAGGGATGGAGGTGGGCAGAGAAGAGTGAGGAGGGTGAATTACACAGCAGGGTCTCTCACAGCTAGTGTGGGTCTTTTCTCATTCCCCCTCCCTGCCTCATAACTAAATATTTTATTTAAATGAGTGGTACCTTCCCGGAGAATTGCCACAATTAGACTCCACTTATCTGTTCAGGTTTTTTTTTTTAGTTCATCTTTTAAGGCACCTGCTGTCTGTGGGTGGTAGGGGACATGAAACGTTCCGCACAGCAGCCCCCAGATAGCTGCCTGTGGCTGGTTCTCTTGGCTATGAGGTCGGTACCATTGTCCGACTGGGTGTGCTCCAGGAGTTCAGATACGAAGCAGTATGTTTAGGAGTTGTCAAGCAGCACGGCCCACGTTGCCCGCAAATGGGAATTGCTGTGTCATACCCAAGAAAGGCATCTACTGTCATCAGCACCCAGTGGGTACTCCTGGCAGGAGGGGAGGGGGTCCGTGGAGTCTGTTTTCCAGGACTGGCCAGGTCAGTGTACTGGAGTGCACAGTTCACTGTGGCAGTCACCTTGACTGTGGAGCTGGTACACTTGCAGGCTTGCTTAGCCTCGTGTGCTGGCCTCACTAGGCTTTGACGTGGGCCCCAGTCCTGAGCCACAGACAGATGGCCACGCCTCGTGTGATGGTGTATCCAGGTGGCTCTGATCCTTATCTGGGCTATGCAGAATCGGTCAGCTTGTTGGTTTCACTGATGTTCACTGCCAAAGGGTCCTTTTCCACGGATTTTCAGAGGCCCTAGGCCCTGTGCAATCTGTAGCCTAATGTTTGTCCCAACCAGGGTTGGGACTTGACATCCACTTGTTCCATTGTCAAGTGTCAGACCACACAGTCAGCCCACTGGCTGTGAACTTTGGAGGGGGCAGTTTCCAGGGCACCACAGCCTGCACCAGTGCCCCTGGCAGACTTCTCTCTTCATATGCAGCTTTTCTCAGTTTTTCTGTGGGTCCTGTAGCTTGGCTGATCAGTCTGCAAATCAGGCCCAGCCCTCCTCAGGGACTGCGCTATGGTGAAGTCCTCAAGGAGCCTGAGGTGCTGGTGCAGACCCCAGGCCTGGGATAGCTGCGCCTGGCGGGTGACTAGCCACTTTTTCAGGCAGGTGGGAGATTCCATTGACGCCTGGCTTCCTCCTTTCGTGG